CAAGGACTCTTTCGTCTCTGGTTTCCAGTGGGCCACCCGTGAGGGTCCCATTGCTGAGGAGCCCATGCGCTCTATCCGCTTCAACATCCTTGATGTTACTCTGCACGCTGATGCTATTCACCGTGGTGGTGGTCAGATCATCCCCACTGCTCGTCGTGTCCTGTATGCTGCTACCATGCTTGCCGACCCCGGCATCCTGGAGCCCATCTTCAACGTCGAGATCCAGGTCCCCGAGCAGGCCATGGGTGGTATCTACGGTGTCCTTACCCGCCGTCGTGGTCACGTCTACACCGAGGAGCAGCGCCCTGGTACTCCTCTCTTCAACGTCAAGGCCTACCTGCCCGTCAACGAGTCCTTCGGTTTCCCCGGCGAGCTTCGTCAGGCCACTGGTGGACAGGCCTTCCCCCAGTCTGTCTTCGACCACTGGGCTGTCCTCCCCGGTGGATCTCCTCTTGACCCCTCCACCAAGCCTGGTCAGGTCGTCACTGAGATGCGTAAGCGCAAGGGTCTCAAGGAGCAGGTTCCCGGCTACGAGAACGTAAGTTGAACCCCGTATTTCTATTCCATTGATGAGATCACGAAGCTAACTTGTATGAACAGTACTACGACAAGCTGTAAAAACCTCCCTTACAAGCCGACTAAATTTCGAACTTGTGATGGATGGAATCCTCTGTTTATGAGATTGACGAATGCAATACCCTGTCTACATTGAGGGGGAGGATATAAAAGAAAAACAGCTTAATGTCGTATGTGGATTTTCGACCGCTTAGAGAAGTAGAATCGAGCTGTGCACGAGCATCTGCGATGGCTTTATTTTTACGTTAACGACCGCGAGGGATTTTCCATAGCTCCTTTCCTATTCCCTCGATTGGACATGAAAAAAATATGATGGTTTTCAAGTTCATTATTAGTATATCGTCACTTTAGACTCGTAGTTGGCTTGTAGGCCAGATAAGAGATTAGTAGCACCGGTGGTGACGTGATGTGGTAGGGCAACCGGGCAGCTCACCCAGCCTAGGTCACGTGGTGAGACTGTCATCCGCGTCGCTCGCGTTTCCCCGGCTTTTTTGGTCCGCAAAGCTCTGTTGCTATCTCCTTGCACGTCTTTCCTTCACCACACGATGATTTGCGCAAGTCTCTGATAAAACTCACCGACAACCTTCCTCTTGTCACTACATTCATCATCCGCATTCTCGACGCCGATTTTGATCCCTGACCCAAACCTCTTTTCCGGCATCGCCAAGTAACGCCTGCTGCCTCTTTAAGCTCTTCGAGGCACTTTTCCTTTCGGCAACAGTCGCCTGCCACGGTTTCAACCTTGCGCAGCAACATGCAGCTCACCGAGGATCAAGCGACCGAGGTGAAGACGTGGGTAGTGAGGAAACTGGAAGATATGTAAGGCTCATCTGCCCGGCGACTGTTTTTCCACGACGTTCCCTGCGCTGAATCACGAGCTAACGAATAACTCGCCGGTTCAGATCGGATGCCGATTCTGATGTGCTCGCCGATTATGTCCTGGCGCTTATCCGAACAGATGCCCCGGACGAGGAGATCCGGAAGGCTTCGGTGGACAATCTGGAAGACTTCTTGAGAGAACGTTAGTCATGTCGAGGTACTTGCTTGCGCAGAGAAAGCGCAGTTGGCTCACTAGCTTTTCTTGCATATATAGACACTGTTCAGTTTGTCGATGAACTCTTCACAACGTTTGCGCCCAAGCCGCAGCCCGTTCAAACCGCCGCGATGTCTCATGATGGTGCTGCAGGATCAGCTTCGGAACAGCAGCAGGCCTTTGGTGCTCCCTCCGGCCCAGCAAATGGCCCCTACGGCATTCCACAGTCGCAAGCCGATGGCTCCAATTTCAATCGCAAGCGTAACTACCACGAGGGATTCCAAGCCGATCAGGAGCGCGACGATGGACCCCACCATCGCACATACAAGACCCCTCGCCGGGGACGTGGCGGTGGCCGGGGAGATTGGATGGGTAGGGACGGCGGCCGCGCAGGACCGGCTGGTCCGGGACAGTTCCATCCTGGTGCAGCAGGATTCCCAGTGATGCCTCCTGCGTTCCCCGGCTTTGACCAGAATGATCCGATGGCAGCGATGATGGCTCTACAGAGCATGGGCTTCCCTCAGATGCCGGGCATGCCTCCGATGCCGATACCACCCCCGGGCGCCGGTGCTGGCCAGCAGCCGGACAAGATGGGACCCAAGAGTTCGGAGCCTTGTCCGTTCTACGAGACTCAGGGTATCTGCTACCTTGGCGCTACATGCCCCTACCAGCACGATGCCATGCCAGGGTCCTCCAAGGAAGATGGTGAGTTGGCTAATTGATTGCGTTGGCCGCTGAACGAACTCTGCTAATGATGGGGGGGTTTTTTTTTTTCTTTTAGAATACGATCCAAAGTCCTCCAACCTCATTACCGACTTTCAAAGGCGCACGGATATACCTATGCGAGGCAGCGACAGAGGTCGCGGCCGCGGTCGTGGTGGGGACCGAGGTGGCTTTGGAGGCAGGGGACGACGCTCTGAATTCTCTTCTGCTGGGCCTAACGAGGATACGACTATCACGACCATTGTTGTTGAGCAGATCCCTGATGATAAGATGGACGAAGCCACGATCCGAGAGTTCTTTTCACAATATGGCGAGATCACTGAAGTCTCTCTGCAACCACACCGGCGACTGGCCTTGATTACCTACGATAACCACGCAGCTGCTAAACGGGCATGGTCTAGTCCCAAGGTGATCTTTGACAACCGATTCGTCAAAGTCTACTGGCATAAGCCCAAGGGTGATCGGAATGGTGACCATCGGTCTCCTGCCGGCGACGCCATGAACGAGGGTCCAGCCTTCAACCGCGAAGAGTTTGAGAGACAGCAAGAGGAAGCCCAGCGGGCGCACGAGGAAAAATTAAAGAAGCGCAAGGAGACTGAGGAAGCAAAACAAGCCCTCGAGCGACAGCGCGACGAGCTCCTTAAGAAGCAGCAGGAAGAGAAGCTTCGTCTGATGCAAAAGCTTGGCGGAAAGGAAGGCGGTGATGGCAGCGCCTCTCCGGCCGACGAAGCCGGTGTGTCACAGGAGAATGCCAGTGACCAGACCCAGCAGCTTCGTGCACAGCTGGCCGCTCTTGAAGCCGAAGCGAAGAGTCTTGGTATCGACCCCAACGGTGCTGGTGCGAGCGCACCGTACTCCTACCGCGGTCGCGGAAGAGGATTCGGTGCTCGTGGTGGATTCCCGCCCCGGGGCCGTGGTTACGACCCGTCCTTCCGCGGTGGATATCGTGGTCGTGGCGGCGCTGCTCGCGGCAGAGGTGGTGTTCTACGTCTCGACAACCGACCCCGTAGGGTGGCTGTCTCCGGCGTGGAGGCCAACTCTGAGAAGGACGAGGCCTTGAGACAATACCTCATTGTAAGTATCCTGCCTCCAGTCTTACCCTATTTACGCTTTCAAAGCTAACCCAGTATACCAGGGCGTCGGCGAATACGAATCCATTGAGCCCAACCCAGACCAACCCGACTCAGTCATCGTAGCCTTCAAGGAACGCTACCTAGCCGAGAAGTTCATGTTTGGAACCCGAGATATCCCCTCGGTAGGCCAAGTCCAGCTCACCTGGGTCCCTAACCCCCCAATTACCCTCCCAGCCAGCGGTACAACATCCGGCCCTGGCTCGGATACCAATAAGACAGGGTCAGATGAGGACACGGTAATGGACAACGCAACGGGGCCATCCATGCTACCGGAACAGAGCGGAGCACGCAAGGACGGCCCGCACGATGTGGACTACGATGTGGCGGAGGTGGATGATAGTTGGGGAGTGGAGTAGAGTAGATTCTACCTACCTGCTTTCGAGTGTAACTTATGCTCATGATGGGATGGACGGATGGATGGTTTGATAGAAAGATACGTCTGCACTTGATTCATACTCCTGGCGTCTTCTGGGGAAGGGAAAATGGTTTCTTTCTTGTCTCGTTGCATAAAGTAGTCGTCGGTGTCTTCTTCTTTGATCTTTTATTTGCTTTGATGTGATAGACTATGCTGGGTATGTATATGTATATGTATGTATGTACCTGGCTCACTTTTCTCTGGCCTTTAGGCATGTACGATAGTTATGTGACTCTGCAGATGCAAGTGATTGGTGATGGTGCTTTGAATGCAAGTGGCGCGATAACGACCTGGTATATACCTTTTCTAGCTGCGGTGGCGTAGTGGTAGAACATCAGGAAGGCCCTACTTGTACAAGAAAAGATAGGGGGCTCTCTTATTATTAGTTAGAAATCATATATTTGAATCCTGTTGCGGACACCTACTCTACCGCGGAGATATTTATATAAGAAATAGTCTAGGGGAAGTTGACTTCTCTAGAAGCTGGGGCTGGATTTTAAAGTTAAGTATATATCTATCATTGTTAGTAGGGAGGCGAATATAGTTTTTGAACAATTTTTTGAGAAATATATCTTTATAGAGGTTTCTGGACTCTATATAAGGATGTAGTTATTTATTAAATCAGAATTCTATTATAGAATTAGAAAGCCTTGGTGCTAGACAGGGAGTATTATCTACATAGCCTTACATGTAATTAGGCGGCTGCATTAGATCAAACAATGTAAATTAAAACCAAACTAAACTATACATTCGCTACTAGTACTCAGTAGTAAGCACAGATTCGCTAGGCTAATTTTCATACATAAAGCACCCCTTCACTATGGTTTCTACATTAAACAAAGAATCGCTACAACATTTCCATTAACTATTAATACTTCGACGTTGACGCGGGATCAAGCCGTAGTGGCACAATATGCACCAAGCCTGTGAGTACGACCTACTAGATTCCACTTGCATTAATTCAACTACCTACTAATACTATACTAGTGATAACCAGTGGAATTTCTCTGCTTAACATCCATTCATCGATCACCCAGAACATGATAGCCATCCTTGTGGCTTCTCTCCGACAGCCTTCTTCCTCCAACATGGTCCTCCCTGAGAAACTCAGCTCAAGCTCTTAGTGATAAAACATCGGTTCCCCTTGAACCGGCTCCAGACTATCCCATGTCGACAGATCAGAATCCTCCAAAGCACCGCTTGGTGCCACTTCCGCAAGAAATCCTTCGTCTAACAAGGTTTGCACTCCTTCCTCCACATACCACTGGTCCGCACCTCCAGGCTGGCCGAACCATGGCGCAATAGGCGACAGCGATGCATTAAAAGGCTGCACTACCTCAAACACCCAGTAGTTATTCTCAGTATTACCGGGACCAACATACTTGTTCAAATTATTCGGCGGGGCAGATCGCTGACTGTACGGTACTCCGGCTAGAGCAAGATACTTGCCATCTTTCCTGCCAAAGCGGTCGTATCTGTCACCCGGATTGAGGGTTACGTTTTGGGGACAGCCTATGCCACCATCGTTGGGCGCATAGACGAAGCCTCTCCAGGGGTCCTTGGCCCAATTGGCCCAGGTGCAGAGGAAGTCGCGAGGGCAGTATCCGCCCCATGGGACCCAGCCGTCGAAGATGGAGGACCAGTTGCCTGAAGTCGCGATTTGGTTTTGGCCTAGCAGTTTGTTGTTGCAGGGACAGTCATTACACCAGAATGTGTTTTGGGTGTCATTAGCTTGATCCGGTACTAGGCCGTTGCAGGCGTTGGCCTCATCGCCGCACTCTGGTGGGATGACATTATCTAAGGCCTAGCTGCGTTAGCATGAGCTGCTTGAAAGATTATGTTTGCGTCAACCTACCACATCTGCAAGGGCTAGTGATCCCAGCAGTGGGAGAGCGAGCAGTGCACGGGAGAGAAAGACCATCTTTGTTGTTGAATGGGATCAATCAGTCCGAAAGTAGAACAAGCGTGTGTGTGTTCAAAGCTGATGAACAGGAAGAATATACGCTGATCGTTACACCTTTATATACCTTTGAAAGATTCCTACTTATGACATTCAGCTCCTACTAAGTATGCAAGGAATGCAGTCAGCCATTGTATATTCATACTACCACCCATACCAATTTCCCGTCTTGATATGCGTATCACCAGCTAGCATTACCATACTACCCCTAGTCCACAGGAATACCATGGGGGGAGGAAAATGGGAGCTGGAGTGTAGGACAAGAAGGAATGTACGCCTGTATCTGCTAGCTATGTTCATCAGTTCAGTTACTCCACGAAAGAAAATGTTCCGAACTGCAACTACCTAATACTCGTACGGCTAAGAGCCAGATTATTCCGCAGGAATGCTTCAAAGTCATCTGCCAATTTGAGGAGAGTATCGGCAACGGCGAGCCCGGGTGCTTGGTATGGAGTAGGGCAGGATTCGGTATCTAAATGCTGATCCCCGCGGAGCTTTTTTGATCATCTACTGGGGGCAAGGGAGGAGGAGATGGTTGATCATTCGGACTGTGAAGTGATTATTTGGCTATGGAATGGAATTACCTTTCCTTGATTTTTGTTGTTTTGGGCCGTGAATGTCTGACGATTCAACCCAACCTGTTTCATGCCTTAAGCCCTGTATTTTCTACGAACTCCTAAACCTTCAGGGACGTTAAATTAGTTCGACGAAACCAATTCCGTGAAACCTGTCCGTAGAAAGGCCCGTTTATAAAAGCGAATGATGTGTGGCTGTAGCGCCTTTTTTCAACTTGTATTGCAGAGTCACCTACAATCAGGGCTCCAATTCAGAAAGGCAGAATTCCCGTGACCTCACTTGTTTATCTCCTGCCTTAAAACTTCATCTTGCTATCGGCATTTCCTTCCATCTCCATTTCTCTCTTTCTGCCTCTCTCTCATATATAGCAGTTCACCGAAGACTTGATAATTGAGCTTCTTACTTATATCTAATTGCAATCATTATGTTATGTCGAAGCACTAATCGGATGGCCGAAATCGATATATCGCATCCAGCCAACCAGACTACGGAGGGATATGTGTTCCAACATACTATCTGGGTGATATTCCTGAAACTACTATACAACAGCTACTATATGACTATATAGACGTTGACTTCACGTGTAACAGCATACACCTCAGCCCTTCAACCCCTACAAAATCCAACCTCCAAAGGGACAGGCCCATGAAGTACAAACCAATTTCCCCTTTCCCGGTGTCGTCGTCCACACCACCTTCTCAGCTAGTACCACCCATTAATCTTGAAGACCTATATCCCCATTTAGCGGCTCAGAAACTTCCCAAGCCTCATCAATTATCCCCAAACTCGGCGGGTCGATCCGCTCAATGTACCCGCCCTCCAGCAACGGAGCGATAGTCCCTTTCACATACCACGCCCAGCCATTTCCAGGCTGACCATCCCAAGGTAAAGTATATCCAGCCTGCGCCTCAAAGGGCTTTGTCACATTGACCAACCAGTAGTTGTACATGGGACTATCATCGTATTTCTTGACCAGACTGCTTGGCCCGATGGACCGTGACCCGTACGAAGCGTTGGCCGGCGCGAGAAAACTGCCATTTTCCCCGCCAAATCGGTCCACCAGAGTGCCAACTTCCAAAGTCACAGTCTCGGAGCAGCCATCGAAGCCGTCGTTGGGTCCGTAGACTAGGTTACTAAGGTTTTTGTTGAATCCGTTATCGGTCCAGTTTGCCCAGGTGCAGAGCCAATCTCTCGGACAGAGGCCGCCCAATGGAACCCAGTCGATGAACATGTTGGTGAAGTATTCTTCGACTGGTTGGAAGTTGGACGGTCCTAGCAAATAGTTCTGGCAGATACAATCCTTGCAGAAAAGGTATGCTTCGGTCTCGTTGTTTTCGTTCGGGGTTATGCCGTCGCAGGGGTTTTCGCAGGACGAGGGATAGTCTTCGGCCTGTTAAGTGAGGTATTGTGTGTTAGCGTGTGTATGGCCTCTTCTCTCTCTCTCTCTATCTTTGTCTCCTTCTTTTCTATCCGTCTCTGCTATGTGACTATGTGTATACCACATAGTATGAATATAAAGTCATAGCATATAATGAAATGTGTCTCCCGTACCACAATTGCATGCGACAAAGTCCCAAGGAACGGGATAAGAAGCAGCGAGATTCGAGCAAGTAGAACCATCGTGACTTGGTAATAGTTTCAGGCAAAAGTATGTATAAAAAACTAAAGGAGCTGGAAGCCGATCAATCTGTAAGAAAAACCCGCAAGACTCCACAGAGATGTGTCCTTGGGATGATACTACTTGACTTGTATGAGATTATTCTGTTTTCCTTCCATCTGACCATCTACTCCTATCACTACTACTCACTTTTTCCAATGAAGGGAGAGAAAGAGAAAGAGAAACTGGAGGGAAGTACGACAAGCCTATACTCCATTCCGTATCCCATAGTGGAATGCTATATACTAGTTGAAGCTACGAGAATGTCAGACCATAATAGATGATATCCTCTTTAATCTATTAAGGGGCGGGGGAGAATTAGTGAGTGAGGTAGTACCCTCTATACTCTCACAAGAAAGAGAACCCAAGCAGCACTGATTGTCTATTCGTTTTCGGACAAGCCCTTGTCCTACTCTGCCCTAATGTAACAAATATCTGCTAGACCCAATATGGAAAGAACTCTACAGGAAGTATGCGGGGAAAAGGACGGAAGGGCCGATGCGTAGCTGTTGGCGGGGTTGGCTTAGCTGGGAGAGGGAGGGATAGGGAAGGGTGACGCGTGTGAGGCTTGTTTAGGCCTAGCTGAGTGAAGAAAGCAAGTATTTGTAGTAATAGTAGTGGTACTGGTAAATCTGAGGGCCTACTAGAGGTATACTACTGTCGAGTAGGTAGTACCGGTAATCGGTAATCGGTATGTCTGTGTGTGAGTTGCTTGGGAGGGATTGATTGCTTAATGTTTGGAGGGCATTGCTTATTCATTTTACATACACAAGATTCATTACAGTGGAGGTGTGCAGAGATGTGCTACTGAAGAGTTACCGTTGAAAGGGGAACCGGGGAATAAGTCCCGCGGAGTTTGTACCGGTTGTGGAATGGAATTTGTGGCTTGGCTTTCAGGGCTGACAGTTATCATTGACCCCAAGGGGTAAGTGTAGATAATTACTCCGAGGGATTACTATAACCCACATATTCCAAGTCACATGGTCCCTTCCCAATAGAATCAACTAGACCGGGCCCATCGATCCTGCATGTTCTGTGGAACCAGTTCAACCATGTATCCGTCCTAAGCAACCGTCAACAACTTAGGTACTGTTATTATAGTCGAGGTCTGCCTACCGGATCAGCCACACACGCAATCTGATCGTATATTTCCTTGAACTTTGGATGTACATCCCCCGTCCCCAAGCCGCGATGCTCTTCCCAAGCACTGAGAGGAACACTGCCCCTGGTACTATCCCCAACCTCTTTCAGCACGTGTACACCATCCCCCCTCAGTCGCTCGACAGCCGCGGGAACATTCGGGACAGTGAAACCTAGATGGCCAAATCCCAGGTTAGGAGGCAAGTTCCCTGTAGACACTCTAAACTCTTTATCCTTCTCAGTCCCATGAGTATGGTAAAACTCCAGCAGCCCGATGGTCTGGGTGAGTTCACGGATGTTGGCGACTCGGAAGGCCCAGGCAGAAAGGTCGGCGCGGTCGCTGGGAGTGGGGGGATAGCCAAGGTAGTACATGGTGAAAGGGCCGGCGTTCATGGTGAAAATGGTGCGCATGCCCATGAGATCGATGTAGAAATGCAGAGTGCGCTGAGGATCTCGGATGCGGAGCATAAAGTGATTCAATCGGTAACCGACCGTGTCGGTTGTCAGAGGCGGGTCGGTGTTATGACCCCCAGGAAGATAGATGCCAGCCTCGAAAGGGGATGGTTGAGATGCGGAAGGTGTTGCTTCATCCATTTCTTTGGCGTGACGAAAGATTGTAGCTTGGACGAGCGCAAGTTGTTTGCACGCAAGCCGGAGGAAACCTGTACCAGCAATAGAACCAATGCGCGCGGGATGCTCTACGTAGCGAAGCTCCTTATAGAAATTAAGGAGCACAATGGTGGGAGATTCTCCAAGTATGACCGAATCATGATCTGTTTGAGCAGATAGTGGCATTAGTGGACCATGGAAACATGATGTTGAGAACGCCACGACCGTTCCTTTCGTCTGAGATTATAGTAATCGCAATTGTAAGAGTAATCTAGGGGTGGCCTGAACCAGATATTTGACCCAATTTAAGTCCGACTCCAATAGCGATTCTTCAGGTTGGGGTACCAAAGAATATATGCAAACCAGGGCGAATGTTGCCCCTGTCCTGTTGATGACTGCCATTTTGAGCCGTACATGTGAGCTTAGAAAGGCAGGCAGGCAGGCTGAACACCAAGGGCTGTGTCCGAATGCCTCTCATCCACCTCGTCGGTTATGCTCTTGAGAGCTGTCAGCTTGCTTAGAGCCATGGTCTGTAAAGCTGGACTGGGTCGAAGCAAACTTGACTTCGTCATCGCTGTCACTGTCCATTTGATCCAGAATCCGGTCGATCTCGTCTCCAGCGTGCAATTCTAGGCCAATCCCTTGGTCGTTTGAAACTGGCATAGGCCGACCACGGGGATTACTGACTTGAGAGTCTTGACTATGGGGCACTCGAGAGGCCGAGCTTCTGGAATCGTGGCTGCTCTGAAATATATTTCGTTGACGTTGGGAATGCTGGGAGCTTGAGTGATAGCCCGAATGTCCAGGACTGGACATGAAAAGCAGAGTTTCAATAGCGTCCTGTTCCATAGCGCTATTTCGATTGTGGTTTTGATGACCAACCGTACCGTTATAAGAAGCCTGACGCATTGGGCCAAGAGGAGGAGTCCCAGGGACCTGCACCTTCTCTGAATTTGCAGCTGGCCTGGACACGCCAACCTCTTGGTAAGAACGATGTCTGCGATGCAGTGACACAGAAACTTTCGGGTGGTGCAGCGGCTCGTTGGGGTTGGGACGTCGACGGCGACTGCGGCTTCCACCTGCAATATCTGCAGGGGGTGCGAGTTTTGGACGGGGATGGGATTTTGGCAGATCGAGGTGTGAGGGTGGCGAGGCATCGGCGGATTGGACCACAGGAGACAGCCGCCCAGGGCCGCTCGGGGTGTAGAAACTGGTTGTTGAGGGTGGATCCGGCGCAGACATTGTGGTTCCATCTGGTGAGCTATTTTCTCCCAAACGCTGAGCCTCTATCTCGCTGGAGGCGGGCAACAGTCCAACCTTAGCGAGAGATTCTGTACTAGGCGATAAGGAATGAGCATGGACGCCATGGATCTTCCTACTCTTCTCAACCTTGGCGGCAGCATACGATAACCGCGTTCGCAGGTGAACGGACAACTAATTTGAAATTAGAATTCACATACAAGTCGCCGAAATTGATGTAAGGAGTAAGCCTTACCGCTGCAATCCTGCTCTCACGCGATAGGGAGCCAATACTATGAGAGCGACGTCGATCGGGACTGTCTACTTCGGAAGGGTGGTCCCCTCCAGGGGCATCGACAAGGTGTTTGGAGATCCCAGCTGCAGTCCTCTTCGATGGGGCGTTGTGTTTAGATGGGCTTCCCGGTACCGTCATAGAGGGACTATGGCTCTTTCGAATGGTGGACGCCAATGGCTCAGACCTGATCTGTTGCCCACCAGTGGACGCGTGTACACTCGTCCCCGTGGGTTCTGACGAAAGTTGGTGATGCATTATTTCTTGCGTTCTGTTGTATTCGAAAAGCTTTCCTTGCGCGACAGGCGGCAGACCCGTCGAGACCGAAGACTGTGGTAACTGTCTATTGGAATTAGATGCCGGCTGATCCGATGGTGGCTCTGATGTTATGTGAACCGCCATGGACGACTCCGGCTTAGGTGGCGATACGCCAACACGACTGTCTCTATGATCTATCGTGTCATGATGGCGGCTCCCAGCTGGGCGGCTGTGGTGTTCGGTGGCTTCTGCAAGATTCCGCGACGCAATTTGGGGTTGGGGGTTCTGCACATGTGGGCGTCCGTCTAACCGCGACGATCCACTCATACTGATAAAATGAGCGGCGGAAACCTGACACTGCAGGTCTTCTGAGGAATCTCAATAAGCTCTCGGGTGTGGCGTTTGCACATTCCTCCGATGGCAGCAGAGGAAGCAGAGGGTAAACAACCACGAGGGCTCTCAAACGGCCTGGCGTCTAGCGTCAAATAGAGGCAGATCACCGCCCGCTTCTGACGTTGTTGGGCACGGGAAGGTCCGAAGCGGAGCTGTCAGGAGCACTCAGTCCACTCAGACAAAATGCCTGAGAAGCTGTTTGCTGCAAGGGATGGCGTTCGAAGAATCCACACGTGCAAGGTGGGACTAAGTACTAGCAAAAGCACGTTGCTGGTCTCCGCACGTCAATCCCGATGCCTGATGGATCGGCTTGAGGGGCGCGAGGGGAGGACGATGAGGGATGCCATATGTAGACGAGAATCCGCCTACATGGAGAACAAATTGAATGCAGAGCTAGCGTTCACTGCGCTGGTGGGCGCAGGGCAACATGGGGAAGATCTTCCAGGACCAGCACAGCAACGAGCGACGAGACAAGACGCGTTGCGCGGCGCGGTCACGTGGGGTTACTTCCACCGCATGGTTCAGGCACCATTTTCAGGCAGCCACCGGAAATGTAAAAAGTCAACACCAACTCAGTCTATTCCTGGTATAGAGCATCAATATATCCACAAAAAAACAATAATCCAATAAGAGAAATAAGAAGTCCGACGCTATAGTCGGGTAAGATTCAACGCCATCCACCATGCAACATGTAGATAGATACACATCAACCATATTCACAGTAAACTTTTAACATCCGGTAGAGATCCCAAAAACATGCCGTTCCAGGAGGGTTGCCTTACTTGCGTTTCTTACCCCCACCACCTTCACTGTCCTGGTTCTTGCGCTTCTTACCTTCTCGGCGCCAGTATTCATCCCGTTCTCTCTTCTCCCGCTCGGCCTTCTTTTCCAGACCCTCCGCAACCTTCGCACGATACACCTGGCGCCGTTCCTCCTGCTTAGCCGCACGCTTGGCCTGCTTCTCGTTGCGCATTGTATTAAGCTTCTGCATGAGATCTCGTGCCTTCTTCTCTTCACCACCCAAGACCACAGCACGCTTCTGCATGTAGGTCTTGTCCTTCCGACCCTTCATCTTCGTGATTTGGGACTTGAAGGGAAGGTCAGCCGCCAGCTGGCGTGGCACACGAAGAGGGTTGAAGTGACGCTCGGGGCGCTCAATGGCGCGGTAAGCTGAGTCCTTGTTCATAGGAGTAGGAATTCCCTTTTCACGACGGACTTCACCAGTGAGACGCATAGCCTTCCAGCCGTTGTCACCGACACCGTCCTCGTCCAGATCCAGCAAGTTGGTGACAGGGTTGTAGAAGCGGTGGGGCTTGATGGGGTACCACGCGCGAAGGAAGACGATATCACTCATGAGAATCTTGTCCTCGAAGGTAGCACGGAAGTAACCCTCGGGCTTGCTGAGAGCGCGTTTGATCTGACCACGAATACCAGATACAGTCCGGATGGAAGCTCCTTCAAATTTGGCGATTTCAATAGACGAGTTGAACATGTCCTTGATGAAAGCGGTGTTCTTGAAGATCTTGTAGGGTACACCAGTCAGCTTAAGCTTCTTGACAATCTCCGTGTGCTCATCGACGCTCAGTACGACACCTGTAGCAGCGATGCGGAATCCCGGGGTCTTGTTCGAGAATGATTGCACACAGCAGAAACCGGTGTTAGGTGCAACAAGAGGCCCGTAGAAGGTACCAAAGCAGTGCATGTGTTCGGGAGTGTACTTGAGCATGCGGTTACGGGTTCGACTGTCCGAAGTGCTGTATATCGGCAGGGACTGGAAGCGGCGCCAACCGAGAGAGAAGATAAGAGGGTCGTTGCTCTTCAGGATCTTCTTATGCCAACGATGCCTCTTGATGCGGATCTGCACATAACCGAATCTGTCTTCAGTCGGGGCCAGTCCACCCACAATCACAGGGAAGCGGGGGTTGAACTTGGTTGCGAATTCGCAAGGAACGTTCTCAAGCACGATACGTGCATAAGTACCAGCCTTGAAACCTTCCGCACGGGCCCTCGAGGCCGGGTCAAGCATATCGAATTCAGCACGGTTGATGTCGATCTGCTTCTGGAGCTTGGCCTTCTGCATATCGTACCACTCGTCCTCTCCGAATTCTTCATCTCCACCACCGGCCTGCCGGGAGTTGTCCTTGGAGTTGGCGAATCCTTCACGGTCTTCTTCCTCAAAGCGCAGCCTCAATTCTTCCTTCTTCTTCGCATTACGTTCTCGCTCTGCATCCAAGTCGACGGGGCCTTCGGCCTCTGCAGCTTCATCATCCTCGGCGCCTTCTTCGTCAGAGAACCCGTCGAAAGCTTCACCAGTCTCCAAATCTTCAAACTCTCCGTCACCCTCGTCATCCTCATCAAATGCATCATCGACATCCGAATCATCATCGTCGCCACCAGACAGTTTGGCACTGACGAAGCGTTGCCGCAAGGATTCAATCATGTCCGCATCTTGCCATTTGGCTTCTAGTTTGGCGTAGTCGTACTCAGGAACAGCACGGTACTCCGCAGCTTCTTCTTCCTCAACGTTTGTCTTCCTGAAGAAAGCGTCTTCGTCCTCTTCAGGCTCTTCATCGTCATCGCCGTCGGCCTCCTCCTTACCGCTCCATCGGCGGATCACATCTGCAGGTGTGATGGTTTCATCATAAAGCATGCGTGACAAGTCAGGGACACGGTACTTAGGACGCTTCGAATGGAGGGCCTTCGCATTGGCAAGCATGTTATCCTTCCAACGGACCTCGCCATCATCTTCACCGTCTTCGTCTTCGTCGTCCTCGTCGCTATCGAGGACCTGATCCTCTACTGACGAGATGGAACCAAGGTCGGAGTCACTATCGGCAAAGGCGATGTCGTCCTCTTTCTGATGAGCATTGCCGTTTTGTCTTTCCTTGAAGTTGGCCTCGAAATCTGGCGGTGCGGAAGCGTCGACCTCTTCTTCATCACCGCTCAGGTCCTCTTCCTCATCTTGCTCCATGTCCTCCTCGTCCTCTTCGCCCTCTTCGCTTTCGAAGCCTTCATCATCGTCCGCCGCATCCTGATTGTCCTGTTCGCCGTCCAGGAATCGAACGTTTCTCTTGTGCTTCCTGCCGACAGCTTCATCCTCGTCATCTGCCTTTCCGATGGCACCACCGCCGCGGAACAAACGAACACCACTGTCTGCCTCACCCAGAAGTTTACGCTCTCCTTGAAGACCGACGACCAATTGCTCTCCCAGACCACGCTCCTCATCGTCGGATTCCTCGCCACGATCAAAGTTCGAGGTCTTCACATCGATGTAAACAGCATCCTTGTCAACCAAGACACCACCGACGTCGGACATAGGAGCAAAAAGCAACTTCTGCTTCTCTCCCAGCCTGCGCTTGCTATTCTTGCCGGTGGCTTTAGCCAACTGCTGATCCATATAAGGTGTTGGGCATGGGTCGGGGAGAGACTCGATGCCAGAAACAGTCAAGTCACCCACACCAGGAACATGCACGCGCGCACCAGAAGCCGGGAAGTTGGTGCCTCGTAGGTATCCATAGAGCGCTATCGTCCGATCACACTTCGGGTTTTCTTCAATCTGGGTAGGCGGCGTGATGTCGAGGAATCGATCTGCCAGGGCGTAAGGGTGAGAGTTGCGCCAGATGAGCGGTCTCGGGTTCTTCATGACAGACAAGAAGCGGGACAAGTTGTGCACTTCACGGTCGGGGTAGCGGCCATTGACGACTCCGGAAAGGTAGAAAAGCTTGGCACCGTTGTACAGCTCGGTCCAGAAACGATGCTTGAGGCGTTTCTTGGCAGCACGCAGGGTGCTCTGCTTTTTGAAAAGGTCCAAGTGGGTCAGGATACCGAACACATTTCCGGGCATACCGTGAGAGCCCAAAACGTTCAAGAACTCCATAGTCTCCATCTCGAAGCCATAGTTTCCGTCGATCATCAGAAGCACAATATCCGCGATTTTAGCCACATCGACCATGCTGGCGAGGGAGTCGGAGGGGCATTCTAGGAAGGTAAGGCGGCGCCGTTTTGAGGTTACAACAGTCAACGGTCCCTTAGGGGTACTGAGGGTCTGCTTTGTGTATCGACGGATCAAGGACTTGATAAGGGTCGTTTTTCCAACCTGGAAGCAGCGAAGGCATTAGCATGTTGCAGTCTTGACAATGGCATCATTGGTAAAGATACGTACCCCCGGTGGGCCAACAATAGCCACCACGAGCGGCGGAGCCTCCTCGGGCAGGCGATCAACAAGAGGCACATGGAGTCTCTTCTCTTTTATCTATGCGGCAGAATGAGCATCAGTGACCGTTGCGTACGGGATTATGAAGAGGGTAGTAGCGCATACATCGTGAGATCTTGCGCCGGCCTTATTCGATTTGCCAGGGTTCGAGAACGCGAAAGCCTTCGGATTCGGGCCTAAGTTGCGATACATCTGTTAGTCGACCATTTTCTTGAAAAAGCGGCGAATCCGACTTTGAAGAAGTACTACATACCGTCGTACTTCTTTTTCTCTTTGGCAGGGCGATGCGCCCTGTTGGATTGCTCCTCCATCTTGAAAATACGAGGTCTGTAGACCCCTCAAGAAAACTCTCCCCGGCTCGTGAAAAGATAAAAGCTTTCACCAAAAAGTCGAGCAATCGGCGAGCTGCTTCCGTTGTCCAGTAGCTCGGCCAAAATTATTATTTCCATTTTCTTTCGCCGGATGGTGATTTTTTCCGAGCCGAGATCTTCCCGCCGGAGAAAATGGGGGCAAAAGGCGGACCAGGAACATTGCTGCCCCAGGCAACAAATTACTAATGAGATCCGCCTGCTATCAGTTATCATCCGGCCCGGTTGAGTTCGATAAGGGCTCAACCCTTCCATATCGGCCCGGTGTCAATACGTCGTGATGGCCATGAGAGGACCCGAACTGGGACCCCAAAGCGGGGCTGTATGGGGCAGAATACGATAAGGAACGCTGCGATTATCGGCAGGCATCCCGAGGTAGTCGTGTACTATTAAAGCATAGGTTCACTGCCCCTGGCGTGGGCTAAGATGTACATTTCTCTCGCATTAGTCGCGTACACTGGTCATCTCGAACCGCGAAGTATATTACCTCAAGACTAGTGCTTCAACCAGAAAGATCCACAATGGCTGCTCCGCGTCGTCCCCCTCCAGCTTATACAGCTCCTGCTGATTCTGGAGTCCATGCTACCTCAAAGCTGTACCGAAACATCTCGGAAACAGCTTCCGAGTCCTCCAAGCGAACTCTAGAGTCATCATTCACTATTCGTCCATGCTCGGGCCAAGCTTGGGTAGTACCAGCTGGGCACATCTGCCGTCTCACAACGCCCAAGGGACCTCAAGTGGGGGATCTTAACATCTGGAATGCGAATAATCCGCGCGAAAGACTCTGGGCAGCGCGCACTCGTCAGATCCACGCCTCCCATGTCTCGGTTGGTGACCGCCTGTGGTCGAACCTGCCATACTTGCGCCCTCTAATTACCATTACAGGTGATTCGCTAGCAGGTGGGCAACTTCACGAAGTTTTGGATGAGGATGGCAAGCATAAAGAAGGAAAGGGCTTCGGCACAACGCAGTTCGGAGGGCGCGTGCACGACCTTCTTGGTACCCGTTGTGACCCTTATGTGAATCTGGTTATGGGTGGGGAAAGCTTCGACTTCCACTGCCATTCCAACCTGACCCGTGCGGTTGTTCCGTACGGCTTAACAGAGCTCGACGTGCATGACGTACTCAATGTCTTCCAAGTGACGGGACTCGATGAGGAAGGAAAGTACTTTATGGAAACATCGCCTGCAAAGCCGGGAGAGTACTTTGAGTTCTTCGCCGAAGTTGATGTGCTTTGTGCGCTGTCGGCATGTCCTGGAGGTGAGTTTTATCCGGCAATTATGGAGACAAGAAACTAATCCTTGGTTGTAGGTGATCTGTCAAACTGGGGCTGGGAGGAGAAGGCCGATATGGGGGATACTACACGTCCCCTGGGTGTTGAGGTGTATAAGTTGACGGATTCCAAGGTGCTTGATGACTGGAAAGAGCCTCAAAGCCCCAAGTATGCTGGTATGCACGGTATGAAAATGCCACAGAGGGCAGATGACGGATCTGGTTATGTTGGGCTATAAATGTTGGAGAGGATATACAATATGATGTAAAATATACAATAAACGACCAGAGTGTTCGCATACTACGTCGAACCGAATAGCTATTCAACGCAATTTGAATGTACCTTTTGATATAGTAGCATCAACTTCTGCCAATACCGAGGTCTACAAGTGGACTGAAGTATCCTACTTAGAATGGTTTATTTATCTTGCGCTGGAGATGGTTTCTTTGTTGAGGTAAGTCTCCAAGGCACTAACTGCTCGTAGACTTAGAACGATGTGTCGCGTCTATCTGGAAAGCAGGTAGTGAGATGCATCCCAACATGTGTAGTAGTAGTAGTACGATGACTCGTGGGGGATCTGCTCTATGTCAGATACAACTACAGTAACAGCTATCGCAGGTTCCAAAGTGCACAACAGGGATGTGTCTCAGGGATTTTCCTCTTTAAGGATGAATATTCATCCAAGTGAACATTATTGATTAATATATGCAGGACGCTGTTTCCATGGGGACACTCTCATTGCCTGAAGAAAAACTTCCCATTAACTTTACTTCAATGGCAAATGGCAATGCAAGAAATGAGATGACGAATCAATTCTGTAACTACATACACATTAACCCTAACCTGAAATTGATGTGGCGTCCATGACAGGAGATATTTAGCAAGATCCATGCGTTGCCTAGAGGCGGCCTCAGGAAATGGGATGAAACAGCGACGATCATGTGAGCTAAAGTCACCCCCTCCGACAAGCACCAAATTTGGTCTGTATTTCCGCATCATATCTTTATTTCTTTTGACATCTCAGCATCAGCGAGTCGGAGCGAATGATCAGCGCCATGTGGTGCGGGATGCATTGGACTTGCCGTGAATGTACCAAGCAACTATTGGTGTTAACAAATGCCGCAGTCTCTGGGCCGAACCCCAGAGGTTGGACCAGAATAATCACTCTCAAGGTGCTTGCAGCTTTTATCTATAGCTATCTGTGCATTATCTAAAACATTCTTAGGATATCATCCAATCCTTATTTACTTCGAGATAAGGATATAGTGGATATAGCTAGATGGCGTTCGAAGGCTCGTATACGATGGCTACGATGTGTGTCCGTCGTAGTGAGAAGAGCACGCGGGATGAGGCTTTGCTCGAAAGCTGACGCTTATCTACGATTCTTGTCGCCTGAACAATCAATATAAATACTAAAATTTTCAGTGGTTCCTATAAAGGTGAATCGCACATAGCCCTTCGTCATCCCATACCTCTTTCACTGACGTGACCTGACCTTTAAGTTAGCTAGCTGCCAGTACTCTCGCGAGTCAGTCTTTGCTTCGCATCAGTATGGACCCTGAACCAGAGGCCTTGAAGGAACTGCCAACGTTGGCGACGGTGAAAGAGAAGTCTCAACAGACTCAAGACTCGATCTACAATATCCGACCATGGAATAACAATCATTTGGACCGGGCCATTAGTACTGTGAGTACTATTGGCGAGGATGATGACCCAGGCTTGCGCAGACCTACAGACTTCAAGCAAAGACAGGTACGGTCTGACAGAATTTCAGTGTTGAGAAACACGCAGGCTGAAATCAGCAGGATTTCTCCGGCAAAATGCTCCTTTGGCTCGCATACCAGTCAATCGGTGTCATATACGGAGATATTGGAACCAGCCCGCTCTGTCTATTCGTCTACGTTCACTGAGGCGCCGACTCGCCAAGACCTTATTGGAGTGCTCTCCATTATAATCTTATTACTATTATGGTGACCCTAAAATACATCTTCATTATCCTTCACGCGGATAACGATGGAGAGGGAGGTACATTCAGCACATATTCTCTGCTCAGTCGCTATGTAAGACAAACCTCTCTCCAAGCCGGACAAAATTGACCAGCCCAGATGAATATCACTCATCGAGATCCTCGAGAGGCATCCCTTGTGCAGATGAAGAGACACCTGTCAATTGATCTCGAGAGCTCCAGCAGATTTGCCAGACACAGCCTGGAAACAAGCAAGTTTGCGAAACGCCTACTGAAAGTCGTAGGAGTACTGGCCGTTACGATGGTTCTCGCAGATGGCTTGCTCACTCCCGCTCACTCCGTGCTGGGTGCCGTCCAGGGAATCGAAGTTGTGTCTCCAAACATTTCCAAAGGCACTGTCATCGGGGTCACGGATGCTATCTTGGTCATCTTGTTCTTGCTACAGCCACTCGGTATCACGCGGGTTACGTTCGCATTTGCCCCAATAGTTATCATTTGGCTTGGATTCAACGCTGCGTTTGGAATCTATAACCTTGCCAAATATGATGCTGGAGTCTTTGTCGCCTTCAACCCCGGTTACGCATTCACGTTTTTAATCCGACACGGAGAATCAGGATGGAGGATGCTCAGTGGTACTTTGCTTGCCTTTACCGGAGTCGAAGCCCTTTTTGCCGACCTTGGTGCCTTCAGTCGTCGGGCGATCCAGATAAGTTGGCTATGTTATACATTTCCCTGCCTACTTCTGGCATATATCGGGCAGGCTGCATACATCAGTGTGCATCCAGAAGCATACTCGAATCCGTTCTACAACGCAGCCCCCCCAGGCACCATCTATCCTGCGCTTGTAATTGCCATTCTAGCAGCTATAGTTGCATCGCAAGCAATTATCACTGCTACATTTCAGGTATGAACTTCGCTTCCAAGGTACGACCAGTCTAACTCTGTTTAGCTCCTAGCGCAAGTGATGAAGCTTTCGTACCTTCCGCAATTCAAGGTGGTTCATACATCCGATATATTCCATGGACAGCTTTACATACCGCTTGCGAACTGGCTATTGATGATCGGGACGATACTTGTGGCGTCTATCTATAACAACGTATGTCAATCGATTCTATGCTCAATGGGGTGCGCTAATGAAGAGCAGACTACATCTCTTGGAAACGCATACGGAGTGTGTGTCATCTTCGTCACCTTCTTCGACACATGCATGGTTGCAATGGTAGCAATGTTTGTGTGGCGCAAGAGTCCTTACCTTGTCTTCTTGCCCTGGCTTACAATTGCTTGCTTTGACGGTGCATACCTATCTTCGGCACTAACAAAAGTCCCCACTGGCGCATGGTTCACTCTCGCCGTAGCCACGATTCTCGCCTTGCTCTTTCTCCTCTGGCGTTTTGGAAAGGAGCAGCAATGGTTTGCTGAAGCGGAAGATCGCTTTCCCACGTCGCACTTCGTGACCAAAGATCAAAATGGTAGCATTCGCCTTACAGATCGGTTTAATGGTGCGCCTTTGAGTACCACTCAGGGCGTATATTCTTTGACAAAGCTGGAGAGACCACGCCCATCGTCTTTAGCCAATTCATCCTGAAGCTCACGACAATGTTTGAGATGATCATCTTCTTTCATCTACGACCTCTCGAAACTCCATCAGTCCCTATCGATGATCGCTACACTGTTCGAAACTCGCGATTCCAAATTGCTACCGTCTGGTTGTCCGCTACGGCTACAATGACGAGATCATCTCCCCGGATCTCGCTAGTACCATCACTGATCAGGTCCGCAAGTACTTGATCGAGCATAGACACACCACTGCTCCGACAGAAGGCAGCACGAGCATAAGCCAGTTGAGCCGGGACATAGGCCAAGACTCGACGAGTGCTGAAGAGTCCCGGACGATCACTAGCCGAGGAAGGCCGATCGATCCGGTAGCACTGCTGGAGAAGGCTTATGCACATAACGTTCTCTACATCACTGGCAAGGAGCAGATGCGAGTCAAGAGGGGCACGAATATTTTCAGGCGATTTGTCCTGGAGATCTTCCTATGGATTCGAGACAATACCCGAGCGAAGATCGCTTCGTTGGGACTGGAGCCGAGAAGGTGATTGAGGTGGGGTTCTTGAAGGATATATGACCACATAGTCTGTAGTGAGATAACAGCATATCGTATGATTTATCGATATCTCATCTATACTATGATGATCCATACAGATATTTCTTTAGTTCTTCATCCACGTCATGTACAAGCTGTTGATAGTATACAGCACGTGACTGCCCCTCGCGGGATAACGTCATCGGGTGCGTCATTGCCGCAGGGAATCACAGGATGGAACAATGCAATTCAATACGAATCCGGCAATGCCAGTTGCATTCATCCATAGTTAATGAGAAGTGAGACTTTGAGGGGTAGTTGTGTAACATCACCGGTGTACACACAATATGTAGAGCTCTCTATACCAGGCACTTGAATTCTGTGCCCCTCACATGTTACAGATTGTGTCTACTTGTTGGCTGGATACGACAATTCTTCATGTAAAAAATATCATAATTCATACATTCAATATAACAGTTAAGATCAAAGAAGTAATCTAGGCTCCCATAAAGTAGTCATACGGCCGGACCAGTTCCCGTTCTAAGAACCTTTGTTTACTGGATCGAGACTTCGCTGTCTTTCTCGACGTGGATGTGGTCGGAGGACTGGAGGGTGGAGACTTGTTCATCGTCGTATTGGACACTATAGAATCAATAATTAGTTGATTATGCAAAAGATAGTAATCTTGACAGTGGGGAAGATGTTCATACACGAAACCCTTGACCAGAGCAAATTCCTTCACGATCTTGCCTCCGTTATCAGTGGCAGTCTTCTTGGCCCTACGCACAAGTGTTAGAGTGAATCATGAAATGAGTGAAGCGTGGTATATCTCACTTCTCGAGTTCCTCAGGGGGAGACTCCTTCTTGAGGCTGACCTGTAAGTAGTGAAATTCGTTAGCATTTATTTAGCCCAGGGGCGGGAGTGGGACAGGATAACAAACGAACCATGTACTGGTGAGGCATGTTGGCGGTATATTTGTTTTGACGAAGAGAAGTAGTTCTTAAGTGAGAAAGTAATATGTAAATCTTTGACCTGAAAATGTTGATGAAAGATGTAAGATGAGTTGCCCGATGGGGGACAGGGGAGGGTTTATTTATACTCTGCGGCTAGTAGTAAGAAGTAAGTAAGAGTGAGTTAGGCACCTGCGGGGGTCGATCTCACGCCCTGATAAGGGGACCGAGGGGTCGGACTAGGGACCAACCAGTAGTGCACACCACTTTGGGTGCAGTGCAGGATCGATGATGTCTATGCAGACAGGGGTTAACAGAGTACAGTTAATGTGGCTGAAGAGTGCATGCAGATAGCTACGTCGCATCACAAGTGGCTACAATTCATATTCTTGGCGAATATTGATTTGTATGGGTGAGTCAACTGGCGAGTTTTGCGGCAGCACGTGAGACGGATCCCCCACGGAGTCCGGCTTGTGAGGTCATCGACTGTTGTGTCTCGCACAGTCGCTATGGCCAACTTCTACCATGGCGGTAAGACGAGTCCTGCAGACTGCGTCTCGGGGTGCTAGCCTTCGATATCGTTGTTTCTCAACCTTTCCAGCAAGGTCCTTTTCTTCGTCACCTCTCGTGCAAACGACTACATCCCCGCGGCACGCGTTTGCCTACGGCGCCAATGATGAAGTTGCACGTCTCGCCGCCAGTCGTCGCCGACCATTGACTCTAGCAGATCTGCTCAAGTATGCAGCACGCGTCGAACTCGGTTGTTGTTTTATGGATATCCGCTAATTTGAATAGACATGGGCGTCCGCCCCTGTGCAAAGATGCCCTCCTGGCCTCAGCCAACTTCACGCTCTCCCTTCTTCCGGCCCGCCTAGCGTCTCGTATCGAGGCTCTCCGCAACCTCCCTTTCATCGTCGTATCGAATCCGCATGTCTCCAAGATCTATAACAACTACCTACACTCGCTCTCGACTCTCCTGCCATATCAGCAACGCCAGGTCACGACGCTAGAGGAGGAGAATCAATTTGCTGAAGTACTTGCCGATCTCGTGCATACGCATACGAACACCATTCCCATTCTTGCCCGCGGCTTTCTTGAATGTCGCCGATACATCGATCCCACTGAGGTAACTCGGTTCCTAGACACGCATCTGCGCGCCAGAATCGGCACGCGGCTCATAGCAGAGCAACACTTGGCGCTGCACTTTGCCTCGCAGCCTGTCCGCGACAATCCATCTGAACAACAAGACACACCGAAGGATGCCGCACCATCAAATTACATCGGAGTCATTGATACCGCGCTGCAACCCGCCCGCATAGTCAAGTCGTGCGAGGACTTCGTGGGTGAGATCTGCGAGCTGAAGTACGGGGTTCGTCCGCGGTTGAATATCGGCGGACAGCCGGACGCTTCTTTCGCACATGTGCCGGTCCACGTGGAGTATATTCTTACGGAGTTGCTGAAAAATGCTTTCCGGGCGGTTATTGAGTCCGGGAATGGGAATGAGCCCATTGAGGTGACCATTGCTGCGGCTCCTGATGTTCCTGCCAGTCCGGTACATGACCCGAAAGCGAAGGAGAAGTGGAGTCACTCCGATTCGGATACTGGATTTCACATGGACACGGTGGTTGGAACGGCGGATGCGAACGAGTCAATCAAGTGTTGGTCGCCGTCGCAGCAGAGCATCACGATCCGCATCCGGGACCGAGGGGGAGGTATCCCTCCGGAGGTGCTGCCGAATATCTGGTCATACAGCTTCACTACCTTCTCTGACTATGGTATGAACGGGTCGGAGAATGGCAGCATGGACGCGCTAAACACGATATCTGGCAGCGGGGGCCATTTGAGCAGCATTGCCGGACTGGGGTATGGGCTGCCACTGAGCCGGGCATATGCAGAGTATTTTGGAGGGAGCATCGCGGTGCAGAGCTTGTGGGGATGGGGCACAGATGTATACTTGACGCTCCAGGGAGTGGCCATGCCATCTTGTGTACCGCAACATTGATATACCACTAATCTAACGAGGGCCGGAACCAATCTAATACCACTTACTATTTCTCATTCCCAATCCTGAAATCTCACCTACTGCTCATAGATGTGTCTCTGACCTCGCCAGCAGATCCACCAACTCACAAACCCTAGCATCATCCCTCTCCACCACCTCCAAAATACTCTGAATCTCCTCCTCCGTAAACATCAACCGCAAATTCCTCACAAACTTTCCCCTAACTTCCTCGCCCGTCCTCGGATTCCTCACATGCCCAACCGGAAACTCGACCAACACCTCCTCCAACACCCGCCCATCCTTCAACCTGAACACCACCCCAGCAGCAATACTCCTCTTCCCAACATCCAAATAATCCCTTGTCAACTCCTCATCCTCCCTAACTACAATCCTCCCTCTCAACTCCTCCACCATCTTATCCCCCACCCACCCCCCCTCATCCCCATAATCTTCTACCTCAATCGCCCTCCCCTTGACCATCGCAACAGCAACAACCCACTCCAAACAATGGTCCCTCTCCGCCGCACACTTCAACTCCTCCCTCCCCGGCCTAGAAATAATATACTTCGCCGCCCAAGGCACCCTCACCAGCACCTCCTCCACCTCATCCCACATAACTCTCGGCTCTTTCTTCATCTGCCCCAAAACAGCCTCCACAGCCGCACACCCATGTCCCTCCACCGGCATAATCTTATACATCACCCCTTCCACCCCCCTCGCTTCCATCGCCCCAAGTTCGCCTATAAACTCAAATTCCCTCCCCCCGAATCTCCCATCCCTGAACCCGCCCCCCTCATGATTCAATACACTCCCCACACCCCTCATCGCCGCCCCGCTCCCACCATCATCAGCCCTATCCGCCCTAAACACCAACTCAACCGCCCTCGCCGCCGCATCAGCAGCCGCCCATCCCTTGCGAGGCACAGTGCACGGATGGGTACGATACAAGTGACTCGGCCCCGCGTCCATCCATACATGGGATAGAATACTCTGAGTTTTAGTGGCAGAATGGCCCATCATCCACGAGCAAACTGCCGCTGAGGCCAACTCGACGAGAATGACATGGTCGAGGTTGTGTGCGTGGAAGGCGTTGAGCGCTTGGTAGTGTGTTTGGATCTCGTAGGATTTGGTTATTGCAGAGAGCAGGGTGGAGATTGTTGGATTGGACTGGGAGTTGCGGCTTAAGTAGTCGGATGTCGCGAGGAGGGCGGCTATGTTATCTGTTCATTTAGTTTTTCTAGTGTTAGGAATTTGGTGGTGAGGAACAAGAGGTAAGGGAAAGTACCTACCAGAAGGATGACCCCATTCCATCCCCCAGCTCGCATCGTTGTGGTCCAGGTAGCGGATTAGGACGCCTAGGTCGAAGGTACCCTTTACTGGGTCTACGGTGTGAGAGGTACCCGGGACTGGGAATCCGTGGGGGACGGTGGTGCCGGGGATGATGGAGCCGAGGAGGGCTCGTGCAGAGGGGGATTTAGAGGCGGTTTCGATGGCGCAGGAGAGGGCGTCGAGGAGGGCGGTTCGGGCTGCAGTGTGGTGGGTGGTGTTGGTTGGAGAGTGGGTGTAGGTTGTTATGTCGCGGAGGGGGAGGTCGTATATTGGTTCTTGCGGTGGTTTAGGTTCATTCATTTTGGGTGGTGGTTATAATGCTGTAGTTAATGATAGAAATGTGGGGACGGAATATGGATCTAGGGAAGGTATAGTATTTATCCAACTGTATGACTACTATCCAAACATGCTAACGTTATCACTAATGCTAAAGTCGTACATGTCCAACATATCGCTAGTAGATAATGGGCAAAATCATCCAAAAGACCAAGCAAATATACTGCTATATCAAAAACCACCCGCTCCTCTGACTCTCTGCACCGCTCCTACTGCTCCCCGTGCCCAGCTAAAGTGCCCCGGGTCAACGCCAATCGATCCCACAGGGAGATCATTGGTCGTTGGATCATGCCAGCAGCCGTCTTCTGGGCTGACGCCGCCGTAGTACGCCGTGTTCTGGTTCCGGTCGATGGCTTCACGCCAGGCGCGGCAGACGAATGGGGAATCCAGCAGAAGGTTTACCTCCTGGCTGTGGTAGAAGGATTGGGTATCGAGGTTTCCATTACCTGCGTAGTTGTCAGATTTCACATCACTTTAGGATATAATATGGTGTTGTAGAGTTGGGGATACCTTGAATAGCAACCTTCTCATCAACAATCATCAACTTAATATGACAACTCCTCCGCTTAAACTTATTATGAATCGGCCGGACTTGATCCTTCGCCACATAATTAAAAATCCGCAGACGGAATCGCTGCTCGTCCGTATCCAGCGCCTTGTACATTCGGTGCGCAACCATCTCGTTCGTCCCGTTCTGGAACGGCAGTAATTCGCCGGCGTCGTTGTACCCCAGACACACGTAGCATGTGACGGTGACGTCGCGGGTCTTGACGGCCTCAATCAGAGCCTGGACGATGGGCTCGGCGTTCATGTTGGGAGTTTGAATAAAGATAGATTCTTGCGCGTTGTTGATTGCTGCGAGAAAGCTGCTGTTTTGTGGCGTGTGGACGCTGCTATGGTTGGGGGCGCCCCAGGGTTCCCGGTTGATGACGGCCATTGGGAAGGGATCGTGTGGTGGGAGGACGACATAGGGCTGCATAATGAGTTCTTGGTCGCTTTCGGGGGCGTCGGCGGACATGTCAGTTTGGATTGTGGTATCTATTGATTAGAGATTAGTTTCTGGCCCTGCGTGGATCTGTAGCGCTAGTGGTTGCGGTGCATGCATACTTAAGCGACGAGTCACAGCCTGCGTTCTGGTCTCTCCCTCCCGTGGTAAAAGCAAACCATTCATGCGCTGGGCCTCAGCCCGAATATCCGGGTCATAGTGATGTTCGTCGACAGTAAGTTCTGGGAGAGGCCCCGGGTCTGAAGCATCATAGTCTGGCTGCTGCGAGGCGTGACAAGGAATAGGAGCCCCCGTGGCAGGAGAGTCCAGCATGGGCAATGGGGGTTCGAGAGAACGACCCCACGAAATCAACGCCGTATCATACAACCCATCCACAATGGGTCCCTCGACATGAATCATCATCTCCAGGTTGTCGTTATCCTGCACATTACTGCTCTGCAGCAGTCCAATGCGTCGATCGATTACCATGAACTTGGCGTGAAAGGTCCCGAAGATAGGTCGGTGGTAATTGACAACCTGCAGGTCGATGTTGGGGATCTCATGAGCCGCAGGCAGTTGCACCTTTTCGCTGGTATATTTCTTCTCTGGCACTGGTAGGTGGTTCTCGAACAGCTGCTGCGGATCTCCGCGATCATAGACCATCTTGACAATTACTTTCGTTCCACGTTCGCCGGCTCGTCGGGATAGCTCTCGGAACGCATTGGTTACCAATGTGGAGGCATCCGAGTGAATCCAGAAATTCGTCGCCAGGAACACTTCCTTCTCAGCTCGCACAATGCAATTGGCCATATGGCGACAGAGATCAGGCAATGGGGCGATGATAGTCAGAGGGACTACGCCGTGGCTGCCCATCAGTGGCGGGGAGACTACCCCGGACATGGGATTTTTTTCTAATGCGCAAAGCGCATCGTGGTAGATCTGATTCCTGTCAGGTATGTTCTTCCAAAGAAGAAAGTGATGGTATTGGCTGATTGATTACCTTCAAGAAAAGGTCGCTGGGTTGAGTGCTGCCCCAGTTACCACACTGCAGAACCTTTCGCAGTTCATGGTCATCCTTGTCGACCGACTCGTTCGAGTCAGACTTGTGTGACTTTGACTTCCGATCATGATACAACTTCTGGAATAGCTTAGTGGGTGATTGTGATGGATCCTGCAAGAGCTCTGAAGTGACGGTCTTCTCGTCATGACAGAGCTCATACACAGTGTCGGAGAGCATGGTAGTTCGCACTTGGTTGGCACTTTTGGGCTGACGAAGAAACCAGAAAATAAACGAAGCCAAACTCAGAGAATACACGGCGCTGACGAGTTTAAAAAGGGGTATCCAAGTGGATTCGTTGGCGGGACCCCAGGCGACTGGCGCGACCATGGCTATTAATATTAATATTAATGTGAAAGGATGGCTGCCTGTCTACGAGATGACGTATTTGGGGGCTATCTACAGGTCAGCATTCAGATTCTGGATGGCCATGGGATAATATAACAATTAATTGGGGCCAATGCTGCAAATGATGTGGTGAGCGCATCCCTTGAAAACCGCAAGCAACTGGCGAGGGACGCGGCCACGACGTCATGCGGGCTGACGATAACCAGTGATAACCAATTGAGAAACTGGCCGATGAGCAGTGGAACTGTTCTAGTAAGATTCAATCGGTGGATGGATCCACCAACTACCAGCTTGGCTCTGAAACAAGCTCCTGTCGGAGAGAACTGGGCAGAATAGGGCTGATCGAATACTCGTGATACTGGACATTTTTGAGCCCAATATTGTTATTGCTGCTGATCGGCTTCCGGCACATAGTGGAAAGATGAGCACCTCCACACTGAATTCGCATTTCCGCACCATGATTGCACCTTGCAGCTCAAGTATGGGTTCCACCTCATCGTGCCAACCTTATTGACGAACTACTTACCCCGTTGGGTGATTACTCAGTGAAAGCCGTTAACCTCGGAGTTTCTCCTCACCAGTTCGGACTTGCCCCCGAGCTGTCCTTTATTAGGCCGGCTTTATCAATCTATCCCCGACTTCTTGTATCCCCCTTCCTTTACTCCGCATTGCTCTCGGTCAACTCCAGTCTATTTCAATTGCGCACCCGTAGATTACCGTTGTTGACTGATTGCGACCATGTGAGTCACTACAATTTCTTAATTGGCCTCTCTTGTTTGTTTCGTATTCTCTGACAGTCTTCAGGATCTACACAGCATCCTTTGCCTTCTTCGAGGCACTTTGGGAGGTACTGTCCCCATCCACATTAAATTGTCGGTCAAGCTAACCTTCCAGGCTGGGGTCTCCCATGTCTTTGTCAATCTTGGCTCTGACCACCCCTCTATCCTCGAGGCTATGGTCAAGGGCCAGAAAGAAAAGCCTGATGCCTTCCCCAAAATCATAACCTGTCCCAACGAGGTGAGTCGATGAATACTATCTCGTTGTGGATCTCGACCGGAACACTAACCCCGCATGCCTCCTTGGCAGATGGTGGCCCTGTCTATGGCCGACGGCTATGCCCGCTTGACTGGGGAACCTCAATGCGTGATTGTCCATGTCGATGTTGGTACCCAGGGGCTCGCTGCTGCTATCCACAACGCATCTTGTGGCCGAGCCCCCGTCTTGATCTTCGCCGGTCTCTCCCCGTATACTATTGAAGGGGAAATGCGTGGCTCGCGCACAGAATATATTCACTGGATCCAAGATGTTCCGGACCAGAAGCAGATCGTCTCACAATACTGCCGGTATGCCGCGGAAATCCGATCTGGTAAAAACATCAAGCAGATGGTCAACCGCGCTCTTCAATTCGCTACGAGTGATCCCAAGGGACCTGTCTATCTGGCCGGTGCACGAGAGGTCATGGAGGAGGAAATTACCCCTTACTCTCTCAATCAGAGTCACTGGGCGCCTGTCTCCCCATCTGCTCTCCCAACCGAAGGTGTCGAGTTGATTGCATCAGAGCTCGCAGCTGCGAAGAACCCCCTGGTCATTGTCGGTTACTCTGGCCGGGAAGCGCGAGGTGTCCACGAATTGGTCACTCTCGCCAACACCTTCCAGGGCATCCGCGTCCTCGACACTGGCGGCTGTGATATGTGCTTCCCTGGCGACCATCCTGCGTGGCTAGGCATGCGTTTTGGTGTTCATGATGCCATCAAGTCTGCCGACTTCATCCTCGTTGCCGACTGTGACGTACCTTGGATCCCGACGCTCTGCAAGCCCTCCGACTCTGCCCGCATCATTCATGTTGATGTAGACCCGCTTAAGCAGCAGATCCCTGTTGCCTATATTCCCACGATAGCGACCTTCCGCGCCGAATCGGCAACTGCTTTCAAGCAGCTCAACGAATATGTTGCCTCCAACTCCTCCATTCAGCAGACAGTCCAATCGGATGAGAACCGTGCTCGTGGCAAGCGCCGCGCAGAGGTGTTCCAGAAAACCCGCCAGGCTATCTACAACCTCGCCCGCTTACCTCCCGGCGGGGATGTCGCTCCCCTCAATGCCAACTATCTCATCAGCCAACTACGCCAGTCCTGTCCATCGGATACCATCTGGGCCATCGAATCCGTAACTCTCACTACTAACGTGGCCGACCAGATTGCCCCTACCCTGCCGAAATCCTGGATCAACTGCGGCGGTGGTGGACTCGGGTGGTCCGGGGGCGGTGCCCTGGGCATCAAGCTCGCCACCGACGCCAAACACGGCGGGACAAACAAGGGCAAATTTGTCTGCCAGATCGTCGGCGATGGCACCTATCTCTTCTCTGTTCCGGGGTCTGTTTACTGGGTTGCTCGTCGCTACAACATTCCCATCCTTACGATTGTGCTCAACAACAAGGGTTGGAATGCCCCTCGGCGCAGTATGCTCCTCGTCCATCCGAACGGCGATGGATCCCGCGCTACGAACGAAGACCTCAACATCTCTTTCGCCCCGACTCCAGACTACCCGGGTATTGCAACAGCTGCATCTGGTGGTACTTTCTGGGGTGCCCAGGCTGCTAATGTTGCCCAGCTGAGGAAGCTGTTACCTGAGGCTATCAAGAGTGTGCAGAATGGTACCACGGCGGTCTTGGAGGCGCAACTTGATGGGACGAAGGGCAAATACGTGGCTGCGAAGCCTTCACTGTGATGTTTCCTTGAACATATCATTACGCTTGTGACGTCTATATGAGTATTATGATACATGATACAGTCTTTTGCAAAAGACTGGTGCCGCCTCCGATCTAGACAGATAGCAGAAACAGAAAGGTAGTTCTATACAATACAATGAATAACCGAATACACATGGACATTGACCAGATGGAGTAAGACTACTAGTAGTACCCAGTAGACAGGCGGTGCCCTGTTCTATGATCCGAACCCCCCATGCAACGCCACTTCGGAGAAATACCTTAGTCTAAGTACCTCTTCGTATAATCGCCGATCCTCTCCTACCGAGTAACTACCTAGTACTAAACTCGATTAATAACACACAACGGGATCACATATCCCTTTTGATTGGGCCAGACCGCCCAACGGGAACTCAATCTCCGTTACCGGGACTTAACTTCCAGCGCTCGGACTTCAATCCTCGGAGATCTGCGAAGCCTCGGATTTCTCTCCGGGAGATGCACCATGCACCTCGCGTAGTTGACCTTTTCGTTCGTCTTTATGGACAAAGCAGTGTCTTCCACCCCCCCTTTCCTCCTTAATTCTCTCTTCGGCATCAGCCACCAACTGGATGGATCCTCGAATAGTGTTTTATTGTAAACGCTGTTCTCTCTCACTTTCGCTCCGCTAGCACTTGTAAATCAATATTATTGAGTCCCAATGATGACAAAAGGATACTCAATACAGTGTCTACTATTGAGCATTTCCTAAGTAAAGCTCAGAATATGTGGGACTATGTACAAGGTTCCTTAATGAATTTATAGCCACGTGATATTCATGAACGAAGGTCCTGCACTCAATCCATTAATCATGGTCATTCCATAGTCATACTATATCTTCAAACACCACTCCCTCCTACCATCCTCCCCGACAACCCAGCCTGACTCTTAATCTTCGCCGCCATATAAATCCCCTCACTAATATGCGACTTCCAATAAAACCTCCCATATTGCTCGTTCCACTCCTCACCGAGCAGGATTCCACCGTCAGAACTACCCAGACCCTTAAAGACTCCTGGGTGCAATCGACACCGAAGATACAGACATTAGCACAGCTATCTGCAAAGCTGTTGTGGGAAAGAGTGGTTTAGTAGCACCCGCATCTGGTTCCCGCCCGCCAGATGCAATCACGTTCAAGGACACTGAGATATGTCGGAAAATCTTCAAGGAGTTTCTTCCGAAGGCGTTGAGTGAGAAGAGCTATATTGTCGCTCCGAGTCCAGTGTTTCCTCCGAAGATCTCACATTTGCGTTTGACTGTTGAGAGGGCGCAGAAGAAGATTATTACTTCGGTGTATTGTCCGTGATTTGGTGATGGTGAGAGAGGTATTGTGCATTCGTGGTTGTGGTCTCAGCTACAATGCCAGATATGTCATATTAATTTGTCACTCTTTCACAATCTTTATAACTAACTGTTCCAATAAATACTCTTTGTCTCAGAACACCTAAGATGTCTGACCCGACGAAATATCCAAGAGTAGTCTACGAAGCAGTAATCAACCAGCTCTTAAGTGTCAAAAATCACCCAATGCAAGAGCAAAAGCAAGTAGATTCACCTCATTGAGAGTTATCATAACAAATTGTGTAACAATCTCGGTTAGTAAGAAAGCATGCATTACGATACCCATTTTTGTGTTTCCCATCATCAGTTTCAGGTCAAAGCAACACCCTTGTCAAGCAAATAAACGCCTTTCAATATCGAAAGAGTCTCAATGACATTCTTTAGACAACATCGCAATCCTTGAACTTGCTGAGCTTGAACAACCTTCTTGCGTTGTCTCTGCCAACACGAAGATATCCGTCTCGGCCACCCAGTGCTTCCTTGATCTTCTCTTCATCATCATCGTACCATTGGCAGCCATGCTCCATTCGCTCGTAGGGGAAGTCGACGCTGAACATCATTCTCTCATCGCCTAGCCACTCGTAAAGGTAGCGCAAGTTCTGGGTGCTGAAATTTCCACTGGTGGTGATGTAGATGTTGCGCTTGAAGTAGTAGAGGGGTTCCTTCTGGCAAACAGTATCTCCGTTCTTCTCTGCCAGGGGCCGTGTCACACCCTTGACCCAATGGTCCATCCGCCAGAAATCATATGGGATGCGCTCGCCCATGTGTCCAATGATGACCTTCAGATTGGGGAATCTATCGAACACGCCATTGACGATGATTCCCATCAGGTGTAGTGCGACTCCATTGCAGTAGCTCTGGGGTGGTCCGATGAGATACTTGCGGTCCTCGTAGGTCTGCTTGTAAAGTTGGGTATCCCGCAAGGGTGCGGCAGGATGAAGGTAGACCGGGACGTCCAACTCCACAGCCACTCTCCAGAACTCATCGTAGTCAGGCTGATCGTAGAACAGAGGCTGATCATCATCTCCCTCCCCGGTGTGTTGAACATCATTCAACAAGGCTCCGTGGAAGCCCAGCTCCTTCACGCAGCGACGAAGTTCATGTCCCGCCTGTCTGGGATCATGCATTGACAGAGATGCGAATGCTCCCAATCTATCACGGTGGTCCTTGATCTGGTCATGGATGTAGTCGTTTACATCGCGGGCCCGTTTCTCGGCCTTGTCCTTGTCAGTGATGCCCTGAATACCCGGGACTGTCAGGGAGAGGATGCTGTATCCAATGCCGTTTTGGTCAGACAGCTGCAAGCGTTCGTCTGTGATAGACACGATCTGACGCTTGTAGCGCTCAACGTCTTTGGGAGCAATGTAGAGGGCTGCCTGGGCATCGATCTCCTCATCCATGCCCTTCACCTCAAAGGCTTCTTCGAGAGCGACCTTTCCACGCATATTGAAATATTAGGTTCGGTAACTTGTTCAAGCTTTCTAGTGGGATGCAATAGATATGTCTCAAAAGTCAAAAGAAATTAAATTATTAGGTATAGAGTAGATGATGCTCTTTGATTGAGATGATCCTCTGTCCGACTGGTTGAGTCTTTGAGGGGGTTTATATACTAGCTGCATCGCGGCTCAACCCATGGTAAATACCCCCATGATGTTCGGTGACAGAAGGTTCCCCGCAAACATTCCCCTCCGTAGCATTGGGTTCGAGATGGCCGGTACTCACCTTGAATTGCGGTGGTGGAGAGGGGTTTCAGAGGAGTAATGATTCCAGATGTCAATTTGACTTTCGGGTAACTGTTCCAAGGCCTCAACGCCTAATAACATTGAATGTTGTTTGGAGTCGGTCTCGGTTGAGAGTTATGTGCAAATGTCATGAGGGGGCTTCCTGTCATACTTATTTCATCCGAGTTCATCGCTGATGAGACGTTGATCTAGACCTGGGTGTGGCAGCTGTGGCCTCACCCGGCTAGAATCGGATGATGGGAAGTGGCTTGTGATGGCTTCAGGGAGGGGAATACAACAAGAGATCTGGATGATCTCAGCATGATCATGGTACATCCTCTTCTGTATTGGAATTGGCCAAGGGATAGTAGCTGGCGTTGTCCCCAGCTGGGAAACCACAGACAACATTGGAGCAGATTTAGTCCCCAAAACTAGAAGGGCAATAGCCCATGATACGTCACATCGAAGAGCTAGATCACTCTTTCAGGTAGAGCTGTAACAACTGTTGTAATATGCTCTGATGTATAGCCTGAAGATTATGTTGAAGGTAGTCATGAGAGTTACCTCGAGCCAGCTTGAGCCAGCTCCAGGATTCGTCACCTACCGAGTATCCCATGCTGAGAAGAATATGAGGATTATGAGGATTGTGATGGTAGAACTCCTCCTGACGCAACTGTCGAGGCTCATATACTAACAAGCGAAATACGGAATTCTGTTATCGTGTAATCTGAGGATGGTGGTATGTGGGTGGTCCGATGGAGAGAGAGCTACACAAACCCGCGTCCTGTTTGCATCAGATTGTGTACATTCGAGGGACTTCTGGTTAAGCTCAAGAGACATTGAGGATAAAGGGAACATCGGCAGAGTAATAGTGTGTTCCTGTAATTCTTCATTGGTGGTGAGCACAGACTCATGCTTTTCTCCTGCCAAAACCCCATGAAAGAGGGGTAGACCCAACAAATGCAGGCTTACCACGTGAATCACCTCCTGAACTTTACCAGGCATGGCTGTCACACCCAGTAATAGGAGTTAGGGCTCCATCTATTCAAGTCAGATGTGTACACGGTTTAGTCACTAACTCGTGGGTAGGCAGTAGTTAGTAGAAGTCGTGATAGTTCGTTTCCATTGCCTATTCGGGGTTAAGACCAAGATCTTATCGGGTCGATAAGCAAGTCCGATGCCGGCGATAGCCTTATCTAGGCGCGGGGTTGTCACCCGAGCGGTAATCTAATTTCCATGCATTCTTGCTGTTTGTCTGGCAGCAACAGTTGTTGGTCCTTGCTTCAGCTCGAGCTTTCCCCTCATTCTCTTCAGGCCAAGTCGGATCACAATAACGATTACTCGATGTCCCACCAAGCTATCTGGTACTGACCAATGGCTCTTTCCTTGAGAAGCAATTAGAATGAAGTTGCCTTTAGTACCTTTGCAGGCCCAACCATACGGAGACTGTATCGGGAATACGAATTACGTTATCGCCGCCCGCCGCGCCCTGTGAACGACAGCGTCACATCGCATCAGTTTGCGGCATCCTACAGCGATATTAGATAACGAAAACGCGGTGAAGCTCCTCCATGGCATCTGATTGCTTCTGCCTTCCTTCCATCAGCAATGGCGCCCCCTTTTTTGCGTGCCTCGTGGATGAAGCCGGTCCCCATCGACCCAATGATGCATTACCGGCGGAACCGGTCCGCCCACTTAAGCGGAGAAAAAGCGGACGCCCCTGCGTGACTCGATTCTCCCTCTCAGTTTCGCCATCAGTTCGCCTGCATTGTGGATTTCTCTCTCAATCGTCTACCTTGCTACACTGACTTTCGTGTGGATTGTGTGCATACCCTCACTTGCCTTTCATATTCACCAAGTTCACTACGTGCAATCAGACCCCTGCCTCAAGAATGAGCCCTCCCGTCGCCGTGGACAATGACTCAAAGAACGTGGGCTCGGTTGCCGCAACCGGCCCATTGACGGTCGATGCCATCCCTGCCCTGAGAGCCAAGAGCGCAAAGATTCCCACCGGTGTTGCTCCTGCTACGAACAGTGACATGTTCAAGAGCCCGGTATGTTATTTTCTCGCCTTCATGAACCAACTATACTCTGTGGCGAAAGACCGACTGACCTTACTGTTCTCTCGTCCAGCACTGCTTCACCAAGCCTCAATCGAAACGCTGGGATCGTAAGTCGTCTGATTGCCTCTGTGTCGGCCAATCACTAATTCCTCGCAAGATATTTTCTCCGTCGAATCCAAGTCCCGGAAGGTTCGTCCGTTTATACACGTCGTTGCGGTATACATCGATACTGAAGCTTTTGTTAGAGTTCAACCTTGAAGGGTGCTGCGCAGTACCTGAAGAACCCCGGATTGATCTCTCTGGGTGGTGGCCTTCCCTCTCCGGAATACTTTCCCATTGAGCAGCTCTCCGTCAAGGTTCCCAACGCCCCTGATTTCTCCCCGGAGGCTATTCAAAACTCCGGTGCTCTTCTGACCGCGAATAAGGGTGACGTGCGCACCGGGAAAAGTCTTTACGGTTAGCTGCCTCCAGCCCCCGCGCTTTAAGTTACAGACTAATCAAACATATGATTAGACTTGGAGGTTGCCCTTAACTATGGCCAGGCTTCGGGAACTCCCCAGTTGCTTAGGTTCGTGACGGAACACACCGAAGTATGTGGAGGCAATACAACCCAAGTTTTGACATGTGTGACATGGACTAATCGCTACTAGCTCATTCACAACCCTCCCTATGCCGATTGGCAATGCTGCTTGACCGCAGGTAGCACGTATGCGTGGGACACGATCCTCCGCATGCTTTGCAACCGCGGGGACTACATCTTGATGGAAGAGTACACTTTTGCGAGTGCCCAGGAGACTGCGCTTCCGCTGGGACTGAAGGTGGCGCCGATCAGAATGGATGGGGAGGGTCTTTTGCCCGAGTCCCTTGATGAGGTTCTGAGCAACTGGGATGAAGCCGCCCGGGGTGGTCCCAAGCCTTACGTGCTGTACACCATCCCCACTGGTCAGAACCCAACGGGTGCTACTCAGTCTGCGGAACGGCGTAAGGCTGTGTACAAGGTCGCCCAGAAGCACGACGTGTACATCGTGGAGGATGAGCCGTACTACTTCTTGCAGATGCAGCCCTACGCTGGTGCTGACAGCGAGCCCGTCCCGCCCCCTGCGACCCACGAAGACTTCCTTAAGTCCCTTGTGCCATCCTACCTGAGCCTCGATGTCGACGGACGTGTCCTTCGCATCGAGTCATTCTCCAAGGTCCTTTCTCCTGGATCTCGTGCTGGCTGGATTGTCGCTGCGGATCAGGTTGTGGAACGATTCATTCGGAACTGCGAGACCTCGGCCCAGAACCCTAGCGGCATCTCTCAGTTGATTTTCTACAAGCTTCTCGATGAGCACTGGGGTCACTCTGGATACATTGACTGGCTGATCAACCTGCGCATGCAGTACACTGGCCGCCGTGATACGATGATGCATGCTTGTGAACAGTACCTACCTCGCGAAATTGCTCAGTGGATTCCCCCTGCAGCAGGCATGTTTGTAAGTACACTATGACTACTATAACTTTCCCCGGTGAGATGATAAGCTAACACACTGATAGCACTGGATCGAGGTCGATTGGAAGAAGCACCCTGGCTTGGCTTCCGGCAAGACTCGTGAGTCCATTGAAGAGGAAGTGTTCCTCGCTGCCATTGATAACGGCGTCCTTGTCTCTCGTGGCAGCTGGTTCAAGGCGTCTGGAGTCAACGAGGAGAAGATGTTCTTCCGTGCTACGTTTGCTGCTGCCAGCTCGGAAGGCATCACTGAAGCGATTCGGCGGTTCGGTGATTCTCTGAGAGTCCAGTTCGGCCTGTAGAGAGCAGTTGACTTCTTTTAAGAAGATGTAAATACAAAAGAAGTAGATAACCCCATCCTAATTGTAGCGTGAAATCGGTTATAGAGTAAACAAATTGAATGTTTATTTTGTCGCGGTACACTTCCTCCTTAAATGAAAGATTATCATGAAGGGACATCTGTATAGAATATTCTTATAAGTAACAGTCTTTCTAATATCCTAAATCCCATGATTTCCCTTCGCTGCGCAGCTATTATCTATCACATTGGTAGAAACCAAAAACATCGGAACCGCGTGAAAACAATATTCCGCCGGGTGATCCACCCAGCAGCGTGACACTATCCTGAACGAACGCTCTGGAACTTTAATCGAACGTTTGCCCCAAAACCCTCCATCGACTGCCTTAGATTGTCGATATAACTATCTAACGAGAGAGGAGAGACGATGTATCTTGTTTTTGATTATTGATATTATTCCAACCAGCTCTTGATACCCCTTAGACTTTCTTCTCTTTCCGTTTTGCCGTTGCCCTGATCCCGTTACCCCTGCATTGACGAACGACCGGTTTATTGTTCGTTGCTTTGTGGTAGACCAGCTGGCTTGGTCCTAGGATTTTTGGGTGCTTGTTGTAGGTGAGTGGTCTTGGGATTTTCTATAGATAGCAATAGAGGGTTATGCTCTGTGTCTTTTGGTGGTCGAATTGCTTGCTGGACAGCTGTTCGTCCGATTTCTTGCGCCGGTTTCTTAAAGTCACGTGATGGGTATGAGGCGGTTAGGATGCAAGATGCCTAACTAGTCAAGCTGGGTCCTGGGCTCAGTGGCTATTTTGTGTCTGTATCTGAAGCCATTCGTGATCACCGTCTCCAATTTGCTTGGCTTGAATAGTGTGCTCTGTTTTGTAGATACTAGCTGGTGCAGTGCTAACCAGCATGCAGATTATTTCACTTTGAAGATTCCATTCGTTCCAGCATCTGGCATCTGGCTTCTCTGTTCATGCAACAGAATTGTGCAGGTGTACTCAAGGCTGTGAATTTAGACAGACCTTCAAATATCTTAGATTGTCACTTCTTGGGTGTACTGAAAGGTGAATCTGATTGGTCAGAGTATAGCACGTGGCCTCTGTACTTCACCATATATCAAATATCTCGAATTCACTGGAGCTCGACTGCCTAGCACCTTGGAGAACTGGTTTCTGCCTGGCGCTAAACTAGCGTCTTCTTCTTCTTTACATCTCTCACCGCCTTATATTCACGTCATTTTTGGGCTTCAGTGCAACACAGCATTTGAGGTGAGTTTGCGCCTATCCTGGGTAAGCTTTCGCAGTGCTTGGGATCACAGGTCCCCGGGAACAGCATGATGTGTTTCAGTATGTAACTAACACCTTGTAGTTCACTGGCTGGTTTTATAGGTTCCTGCAAATCAGCCAACAGTGAGAATCACCCTCCTGCTCCGTGAATGAGACACGGGACGCTCGGCTAGGGCCTCTCGCAGCATCCGATCCGTTCTATATTGGGATACTCCCACTTGTAGCTTGGATGTAAGTTAGTGAATTGGGCGGTCACTTCCCGTGTCTGTTGTTATTTCTTCTTCTTCTGCCGCTTGCTTCTTCTGCTTGTCTTTCTGCGTCGCGTCATACTTGTCGATGAGCCGTGTCCGTGACGATTTCCTCGTTCCTCGTTATTTCTCTCTCAAAGGTCGCGTCGTTTTCTGCATAATCCCTGATAATGGCAGGTTCAAGCTCATTTGAGCCCTGTGAACGCGTCGACGGGTTCGCATTATCCTAATTGCTTGGTTATAAATGCTGATCTACTTGCAGTCCCCAAGCCTGGCAGGAGTATCGCCAGGGAGGTGATCAAGGCAGCGTAGCGGGCCTAGACGGGCATAATAGTAAGTTTCCGTCCCATTCTGACTCGAGTTTGTAAAGAGCTAATCATTATATAGGCCCAAAAGAGGGTCTGTTCGAGGACGGAAATAACCGTCGGCAACGGGGCCTGTTGCATAAGAAGAGCGCGAGTGAGCAACCGGTTTACCGATCTCACCAGCGCTCAGGCAGCAGTAGGCGAGAACGACTGCCATTTTTCGGCAGGAAGGCCACCTCGAAAACGCCGGACGAACAATCTCCAGTTGAAGCACGTGCCACCAAGGCGGGCGACTCTCTTCGTCGAAGGCGACTCTTCCGTTCGCACACTTACCCTTTTGGTCGTAACTTCCACAGACACTCGCCGCGTACTGGAGGCTCGGACTCCAAGATTGGTTCGGCTCTTCAGAACCTCTTTTGGCCAGGACGGTCCAAGGAAGAAGAAGAAAGACCGGCACCATCGAGATTGACCCTTGCTGACCCGTTCTTAATCAGCGTGCCTCCCCTTACCATTGCTCCCTTATCCACCCACTTCCCCAGTTCCTACGAACATCGTCGAGCTCAAGTCTTACCGTTTGCACAAGGTGTTTGTGGATCTCCCACAGGCTACTACTGGGATCCTTCCTCCCCCCTCTCTCCACCCTTCATCCACACTCCACCTCAATTTCCTCCGGTGAATTTCCATTCCCCTGGAAACCCTCTCGGTCCTCCCATCACGCCTGTCTCTCCTACTGAGTGTTTTCCAGCATTTGATTGTGAGTCTCCAGGTGCCCAACCTACTCTCCCCTTGGTACCCTTGGACGCTGGGAATCATCCTAGTCCCGAGACCTTCATCCGGCCCCGCCAGCCTTCTATCTGTCAACAACCAGTTGATTCCCCCATTGGCTTACAAGATCATCCGCTACCCTCAGAGCATTCCGATTCCACCATGGATCCCTCACGTGGATCGCGCTTTCTGGACCCGGCGGTGGCTGCCCTCTCCAAACATAAGGCCGAAGCCATAAAGCTTGCTCGTGAACAGGGTGTTGCTGTCCGAGAGATGTGCCGCAGAGCCAAAACAAACACACCCCCTTATGAATTCGAGGAGTTGATCGGAAAGGGCTCATACGGACGCGTCTACAAAGGCCACCAGCTTCCCTCCAGTAAGGTCGTTGCCATCAAGGTGATGGATATTGATTCTGTGGACTATCAAACTGTTCGTGACTTCAGAGATGAGTCAATCAAGGACTTTATCCACGAAATTAGGGTGATGAAGCAGGTCAAGGATGCGGGTGCGAGGAACATCAACGAACTAATCGAGGCAATCTCCATCCACTCACAACTGTGGCTGGTTTGCGAATACTGCCCTGGTGGTAGTGTTAGAACCTTGGTGCGTGCATTCCTCTTGCCATTCTCTGCCTTCGTAAGCATATTTTCTATCTGTGTGCTAATGTCATTATATTGCAGATGCGAGCGACCGGCGACCGGCTTGAGGAAAAGTTTATCATCCCTATCGCTCGAGAGCTTGCTGCTGGGTTACGCGCCATTCATGATGCCGGCGTCATCCACAGAGATATTAAAGGTAGGCAAACTACCTTTAAGCTACCAGGCTTGCGACTGACTATCTAAAGCTGCCAATATCTTGATCCACGAGGAGGGAAGGCTGCAAATTTGTGACTTTGGTGTCGCCGGAGTGCTTCAATCTCAGATGGACAAGCGGTCCACTTGGATTGGGACACCACACTGGATGCCGCCCGAGATGTTTGCGACTCGCGGTGAAGCCCACAAGTACGGTAGTGAGGTGAGATCGACGTCTTCAAGTAAACTTTTTCATACTAACTGCTATAGATTGATGTTTGGGCCTACGGCTGTACCTTGTTTGAATTTGCCACGGGCAATCCCCCTAACTCGAATCTTCGCGAACGTATGCAGATCGGCAGACAGATCACTCGCAACACTCCGAAGCTGGACACCGATAAATATAGCGACGGTCTTAAGAGCATCGTTTCATTTGCCCTGGAATCCAACCCGGTCACTCGCCCTGGTATGGCAGATATATTGACACACCCTTACGTTGCTGATACTGAGGACGCATATCCTACTGCGTCCCTCAGCGAGCTGGTTCGCATCTATTATCAATGGTCACAGCGTGGTGGTCAGCGCATTTCTCTCTTCCACCCTGGAGGTGCTGCTGCAGCAGAAATCCCCGGCAGTAAACAAGATTATGAAGAGGACTGGAACTTTAGTACGACAGATGGTTTTGAGCGTCGCTTCTCAGTTATTGATCTTGACCAACTGGCCGCCTCTCTGGCGGAGATGGAAGATCAAATAAGTCCAACCACGGTGCCTAGCTCGGATCATGAATCATCTGAGGACGGATCGGACAAGGACATGACGCCGGAGGACAAAGCAAACTTTGACGAGCGTGTGCGTCGGGGAGCTGCGGCGATGGAGGGTCTCTTCGATGAAGACAAGCCAAGTTACAAGTATGAAACCAAGAATGACTTCGTCCCAATCGAGCCAAAAGCCCCTACGTCGGATCTTCCGCTTCGCACTGATACCGATCGATCATCAGTCACCTCGACATTTATTGATATTGACATTGGCTCCTTTGATTCTTCACACTATGCTGCCGGAGCAACCTCAGCCCAGCCATTTCAACTTGCCGATGCGGATACTATTCGAGCGAATCGGACGAGTGGGCGTCAGCACCGGAACTCTGTTGAAGGCCGTTCGCGTTCGTCCAGCAGCGGTGTGAGTAGCAACCGGGGCTCCGAAGATATGACATTCCAGCCCCAGACTGGGCCTCGTCCTCCTACAATGGACTGGAAGTTTCCTGTGTTCATGCAACCTCCAACGGAGGAGGCTGAGCCAGCCAGCCCACCAGAACCAGAGACGAAGCCGGCTGAGCCCGACACATCCGATAAACGAGCAACTATGGAATGGACATTCCCCGTCATGACAGCTCCAGCAAATGATGGGGGCGCCAGCAGCGACAGCTTTACGGATGCTAGCCAGTATGATACACTGAAGGCACCGATTGTGGAGAGCCAGCCTTCAGCCACAGTCCGGCGCTCTAGTATTGGTGAGCCCGGGGACTCCCGGCCATCTACGTCTCGATCCGGCGAGTCCAATGGATCTGAGACTGACTATGACCCCTTCCGCTTTGATCGACCTTCCACACCACCCAGTCAGGCGCCCGCGGACCCAAAAAGTCCTGAATATCCCCAGTTGCTGAATACGTTCAAGTATCCTAACTACGACCAGTCCATCATTATGGACGGCCCTGGTCCAGATGAAGAAGAGGAGACGGATGACGTGTGGCAGAAGCCTTCTGAGAACACGGACGATCCCTCTTTGTCTGAACCCTTCCCGACCGCAATCCCCACTAAAAGCGTCGACCTCAGCCTCCCCTTCGTCCCGTCTGCTAGTTCCTCCGTATCGGACTCCTTACCTACGGCTCGGACCAATTTTCCTTCGCTCACCACTGACGATGGAGAGCCGATCCTGTTCCCCGAGCTCCCTCTGCCTCAGCTTGAGCTCTTCATGGCTGGTGCGAACGACCACGCGATAGCTGGGGAGTTGGATCGACTGTTAGAAAGCTTCATTGACTCGTTGAATTCCACCGGACAGGCTCTATCTAGAGTCAATCTTGGTCCGGAGGTGAAAGAGGAGGTCAAAGGAGAGGCTGAGTAGGTGGTTAGTCTGTGGCTGGTTTCAGAAAAGAACATGTCGGACTGCTGGCGTCTTACGGTTTCTGACTGGTAAAAGCACTTGTCGTTGAGGGCTGTTGGGCATATTTCGGTGTTCGTGCTGGATGATACGGTTGAGCAAAATGTGATGTAAATTGAATTTCTGCAGTCATAATGAAACCATAGTATCTGATGTATGCTGTCAGTTTGACAGCCTGTCGTAATGAGTAATCAGCATTCACTGCCGGTCAGGCCCAACTTACGTATAGGAATCCACTGCAACAATATCTTATCAACAAACAGTGCAATTACGATCAAGGTTTAGATAACTACTGTATAATCCCGACCCTCGTGGCTCGACACGAAACTCAACCTCGTCACGTCTGGACGTGACGCGCGTCATGAGGTGGATGCATCTCATTGCCATTTCTATATCCGTTATCTAACTCAAAGCAACGACTCCTAATCATTCTCCTTCAAGACCTTCGGGACTTAGTAACCCCATGACCCAACTGACAATCAACAACCTTTAACCACATGTCCACATAGACATACACACCCAAACTAAAATGACCACTCGATCAACTACATCCTCAACCCCATCTCCATCTCCATCTCCAACCTCCCACCCAACAACCACACCAAGAACCAAAACATCAGGAACCACAAATTGGCCCCTTACCCTCCGCACAATCAAAAACCTCTATACCTCTCACCACTACCGCCAATGCATCGCCCACGCAGCAGAACATTTGTCTCTAACGGAGCAGCCGGTACAGTCAAGACTATTTATCCTATCCTATCTCCATTCTACTTTTCTTTCCTGTCTACGAGAATATATATTACTTTGAAATCTCTATGAGATCATGTGCTAACAAGATTGTCTTAATGATCGGATGGTGTTTGTGTGGGGTATAGATATACAAAACTTATCTCACATTCTACATGGCTGTTTCATATGAAGGGATGGGTCTTGCGGCCCATCAGTTCTCCGGTCAGAAATTGCCTCTTTTGCAGGCTGCTGTGGAGTGGTTTGGGGTTTGTGGGGGTGTCCTGGAGGAGGTGCAGGGTGGCTGGGATGGTGGCAGTGGGGTGCTGATGTGTGAGGAAGATGGTGATCCGTTTGTGGAGTATCATCGTCCTGATCATGATTATGATGGGGAAGATGGTAGAAAATGGGATGAGGAAGAGGAAGAGATGCTGTTCTCGGGTGAGAGTGACAATAGCTTCGATTATACCAACACCACTATCTCGACGTATAGTGAGGTGTCGTTTTTCGATGAAGGTGGAGAGGGAATTGAGGATGGGGATGAGCGTGGTCTTGTTCCTTCGCCATTGAAGGTGCGGAAGGTGTCTGGGGAGTCGGTTGGAGGTAGTAGCTCTCTGCAGGGTTCCGAGGGTGAGGACCATGCTATGGGTGTGGCCAAGGCAGGAGTTGGGGTTTCGTTGCCATTGCCGTTGAGGATTGCTGCCCCCACTACTTCTGCGTCTATCTATACAGGTCCCAAGAAGGAAGTTGGTATACAAACGTGGCAATCAGTCAAGACACCAGCTTACAAAGGCGAACTACAGACCAACACAACAATCGATTTCCTCCGTCAGCAGGTCACTTCAAGTATCACCACGCTGCATAGAATGATTACGGACGTGGCTGAGATGCAGTATGCACGGCGCATGTCCAAGGGAATGCGACGCTCTGGATCCTTTTGGAGCTTTAGTCCGGTCAAGGAGAAACAGGTTTCTGGTTGTGGTGGTGACGAAATACAGAAGTCTTCTTTTGGGGTCAAGGAGAGTACAGAGCAACGAATTGCGAGATTGCGGAGGGATGGATGGCAGACGGTTGGAATCCGGGAACAGAAGAGTGGATGGAAAGGGGAGGCATATTATCGGGAGTATTGTGAGCGAGTGTTGGATGAATTGTATTTGGGAAGATCTTGAGATTGATACATGGTGGCCATGATGGTTTAGGGGAATTTGGTGTTAAGTTATGGTTCATGATAGAATGTTTGCTAGTGTCATTATACCCATTATTGTAATACAGGTGCTCAATGAATTGGTTGAGCCTCCTTCAGGTTGAAGTCGCAAGTCAGACAGCCTAATTAAGCCCACGTAGTAAGTAATCAAGGAAACCTAACTTACTGGAATTTCCACGAGGCTAGCCAGGAAACCTGCATTCAGCCCGAGTGGAGAACGACAGGAATCATCCGAAGAGAGCAGGCCGTCAGTCAGCCTGTCAGGGCTAGACGGTGATCCAATGAACCGGCGTCAATCCGGCTAAGCATCCCAGATGAGATTTTAGGCTCCATCTCCGCGCCAATCCTTTAAAGGGGGCCAAAACAAAAAAAAAAAAAAAAAAATAGTTAGTATCAGAAACTTGGCGGACATAGCCCCTTTTGTATTGTGACCAATATGTCTCAGTCCGAAGACTCGGAGTGAAGAAAAAATAGTTAAAACGAATACGACATTCTTCATTATGTTCTTTTTGTTCAAAATGAGACCTTCAGTTTTCTTCTGAGGGTGTGGCTGGTGCCCAAGGCACAAAGCGCCAAAATAATTAGCTCCAGGGACTGACTGTCGGCATTGTTTCAGCTTGGAGAAGGGCGTGTCAGCATTGGCCCGCTGGCCGATTTCAGATTTGGGGGCCCCCGTTTCACCCTAAGCCACCTTTTATTCTAGATTCCCACCATTTTTCAGGGCGAAAATTTCTACCAGAACATATCACTTGCATGAAATGTGATGGTCATACTTTCGTAGAAAGCATCAGGCTGTGAAGTGAACAATGTGTCAATACCAGACGGATATCTAAACCCGGAATTACACTGCATTATGTAGTAATTGGACGCCAGACTTCACTGATTGTGACTGGGACTACTGCATCCATGGATCAGCCTAAGCCTACTAAAATGCGCTGCCTGGAGGAGCATCAGCCTTGCGTGGCCGCTCCATCACTCCGACCTCCACCATCCAATCCCTATAGATAGGATTTCCCTTCGAGATTGAGCCCCGCTGAGAAGAAAACCCCCCCCGTGGCTGTGCTGGGCAGCCATGGGATTAATGGGTTAAACTCTATCGCCGGGCCAGAACTTGACCTTTTTCTCGCTCTCTTTCCCCCCCTCCTTAACCAGATTTAATCGCTCGGCTCGCTAGTATTATTATTCCCTTTCTTCTTCTCTTCTGGTCAGTTTCAGCTGTCTGATCAACTGTTTAGCCTCCTTCCTTTTTTTTTCCCTTTCCGACCGACAACAACAGCGCATTGCATTGCCTTGCATTGCCTTGCCTGCCAGAGTCTTGCACGTGCAGCCATTACCATAAGCGATAAGCAGCGACCCCCCGATCAGGTACCGTGTGTTTACCCAGTTACTTAGTCTTAGTCTATTTTTTCTACCCCCTATCGGTGGATGGAGGGATTTACCCACCATCAATCAGCCTTCCCCCCTCCCACCCTCCACACGGACACTGTCGCTGCTCGTGTACGAAAGTTAATCTCACCAAATACTTACTTCTTCCGTCTTCCTCCCCCAGGTTTCTGTTTTTCAACCTTCGTCACTCGATTTCTCACAACGCGACTTTCGCGATCTCGTCTCTTGAATCGCCCCGCTACCAACCTCCCTCACGTGCGGGGTTTCCATTCAGCTTCGCGCTCGCTGGTCTCGAGCCCACCGCACACTACTACTCACGGATTAACCCCCCTTCCTAGGGCCTTCACTAAAGCCCTTCTACTCCAGTCACCATGAGTTGTAGGTCTTTACCTTTCTTCGTTTCCCTTCTCTTGTTTTTCTTTCGTCGCCGATCAGCCATTCGTTCATTCCACGATGGCATACCCTTTCATTAGCCCAGCTTGCCATTGACAGCCATTGATTGGTTTCTGTGCTATCGCGCCCGGAACGGCAGCCTCATGTCTTTCATGAGCCATGTCTTTGTCTCTTATTTCCACCATCACCTGGGGCCATTGCGTCCATGCAGGTGGCATTCTCATCCTGCTCTGCCTCTTCGGTTCGATCGTCCCATCACTACTTGCCCTGCTTGCACCCGTCCACCTCTCCCGGTGGTTTTTATTGAGCGGCTATACTGGTTCTCTCCATTCCTGCAACGTCCAAGTGCTGACCAATGGATGATTTCACAGTCCATAATATGCTCAACAAGCTGTCGGGACAGCCCGAAAGCTACGAGAAAAAGTACGATAGGATCCTTCTCGCTTCCCCTTGCATCTGCAGACATATAATAACCGCTGTGCAATTCGTTTCAGGTCCCACTATAAGTTCGGACGCACACTCGGCGCTGGTACGTACGGTATCGTTCGTGAAGCCGACAGCAGCAAGGGAAAGGTTGCCATCAAGATCATCCTGAAGAAGAATGTCCGGGGCAATGAACGCATGGTCTACGATGAATTAGAGATGCTTCAGGCTCTCGACCATCCCAACATTGTCCATTTCGTCGATTGGTTCGAATCGAAGGTCGGTTGCATCAAGGATACTCTAGACGGTCCCCTGTCTAACGCTATGGCAGGATAAATTCTACATTGTCACACAGCTGGCCACTGGTGGTGAGCTGTTCGACCGCATCTGCGAGTACGGCAAGTTCACCGAAAAGGATGCCTCTCAGACCATTCGCCAGGTGCTGGGCGCCGTCCACTACCTGCACGAACGCAATATCGTTCACCGAGGTGTGTCCTATATATCGTCAATTGTTCACTTTCCAAGGACTTGGACTAATCTTGGCATCCACTCTAACTAGACCTGAAACCCGAAAACCTTCTCTACCTTGGTCCCGACCCCCATTCCCCTCTGGTCCTTGCAGATTTCGGTATTGCCAAGATGCTGGATAGCCCGAGCGAGGTCCTGACCAGCATGGCGGGCTCCTTCGGCTACGCCGCCCCAGAGGTCATGCTCAAGCAGGGTCACGGCAAGGCCGTCGATATGTGGTCCCTCGGTGTCATCACCTATACCCTGCTTTGCGGTTACTCCCCCTTCCGCTCCGAGAACCTGTCCGACTTGATTGAAGAGTGCCGAAGCGGAAAGATCATCTTCCACGAGCGCTACTGGCGCGATGTTTCCCAGGACGCCAAGGACTTCATCCTCACCCTGTTGCAGCCCAATCCTTCCAAGCGTGTCACATCCGATGAGGCCTTGAAGCACATCTGGTTGACCGGTGAATCGGCCAGCGACCGCGACTTGCTGCCCGAGATCCGTGCCTACATTGCCCGCTCTCGTCTCCGCCGAGGCATCGAAATCATCAAGCTGGCGAACCGCATTGAGGCTCTCAAGATGCAGGAAGACGATGAGGACATTCCCAGCCCGGTGGAAATGGCAGAGAAGGCATCTGGCACGACGCCCTTCCCTCAACTCTCGCCCAATGGCAAATCGGATTCCGCGCCAGCGGAGGGCGAGGCGACCGGCACGAAGAAGCGCAGTCTGAGCAAGATTGCCCGCGGCGCCATCTTCCGTGAAGTTGTGCTCGCGAAGGTCCGTGAGGTGAAGGAGAACGAGGAGCGCGAGAAGGTTGAGCGCGAAGCTCGTGAGCGGACCACCCATGCATGAGGCCTGATCGGATGGCGTTGATAGAGACTTGCTTTCTGCTGCTGCACCGGTTCCATTCTTATTGGGTCACGGACCATCACTGAACTGTTTTCTGTGAATAACTTTCGATGATTCCCCGTCCATATACTGATCTGGCGTATTCTTTTTGCTGTTTCTTGGTTTGCTGAACGAGATGGGACTTTTAATGGAGGCTTCGGTTTACGGAGATAATATTCCTTTTTGTGATCTGAAATCATACTCGGCTTGACATGATCTTCCAACTATACGCCGCATGTAGATGACTCGCATCGATGTAACTGCCTCCAAAATGTGATCAGGCAGAGTAGAAACAACAGTCTAATCATGACCAAATCAGATGCCGGGATGTCACGTGGGGGATGTCCCCAGCGTGATCGGTCCGGGCCAATCAGGTGATGTGGTGCGGCCCCGTCAGCCACCGCCAGCAGATGATCGCCCGGAGATACCCTCGCGGCCCTCTTTTAAGTAACTTCCTGTCCCCTCTCTTTCATGTTCCCCTCTTCGGTCTCTCTTCACTCAGGGCTTTTTTTTTTTCCCCGGGCATTCACTACTACTAGATCCCTTAGCACCGTTACTCTTCAGCCTTTCACTGATCCTGCCCCGTCCACAACTCATCCGCCGTCTCGTCGATCGCCCCGCCCTAAGTTGTAGACGTCATACATCTGTGCGCCTCTACGATCTGACAATTCCTTCCCGACAAGGCTGGCCGACTATTACCCACCAGATCTTCCCTGAGCAATCTCCAATAAACCGACTGTCACTTCTGCCTTGAAGAGGCGCTCTGCCCACCATGTTTGCCGGCAAGCGCCTGAGCAAGGTAAGTCATCATGCCACCTACCACCCCGCTCATCATCATCTCGACCATTGCAACTAACACAAATCTACATACAGGAGCTCCTAAAGGTACCCTTCCCTAATACCTGCAACATTCACCCTACCAGATCGATCACAGCCATTATCGACTCTCCAATGGCGCTACTCCCTCACAAATCAACTAACCCCCCCACCACAGATGAAAGACCACCTCCCCCCCGGGATCACAATCGTCAAGTCCGAAAACCTCGAGGAATGGCAAATGGACATCAAAGTCCTCGACTCCAACCCGCTCTACCAGAACGAAATCTACCGACTCAAATTCACCTTCAGCAACAAGTACCCAATCGGTATTGTACCCCCCCCCACAATTACAATTTTCTCCCACAGTCCCTCAAATCATGAACAATACTAACGCATTAATTATAAAATTGTAATAGAACCCCCCGAAGTCCAATTCATCGAATGCCCACCCACCTCCGACCACCCCCGTCCCATCCCCATCCACCCACACATCTACAGCAACGGCATAATATGTCTCGATTTGCTCAGCTCGGCAGGCTGGTCACCCGTACAGACGGTCGAGAGCGTCTGCATGAGTATTCAAAGCATGTTGACCGCCAATTCGCGCAATGAGCGACCTCCCGGTGATAGTGACTTTGTGTCGTATAATCGGAGGAGACCTAGGGATATTAATTTTCATTATGATGATGATAATGTATAATATTTCAGGGGACTGGGGTGGGGGGAGGGGGTGAAATTATTGGTGGTGGATGTTGCATTGATATTGGCGCGTGATCTTGATCTTCCATTTTCAGTTTACATCATATTCAAGTTACCCTTTTTGATTCGCTATTTGCTTTGCTTGCTTGCTTGATTCTTATCAAGGCGAACAAGGAGTTTAACTGGATTTCGGACGGAGCGTTGGTATTATGCATGAAATGCATTTACGTGTGGGTTTTATTTATTTATTTTTTTTTTCTTGTTTACTCTTTCTTTACACAGTTACATCTCCTGTCTTATATATTACAACATACATACATATACATATTTCGCTACACTCTCTCTTCGGTACACAGACAACTGAAAATTGACCCTAGGGGTTACATTTAAAATTGTCACGTTTACTTCCCATAAACTACTACTTCTACTACTGCACCAAATCCAAAATCATACTCGATGTTTTGAGTCACTATACACAGGGTTTATGGAAGAGAGAACAAGGAGGAAAGAAAAAAGGGGGAGGAGGACAGACAGACACAGTCGACGGAAGCAACATCAGCGACACAGATACAAAGGAAAAAGTTCAACGCCATAAAGCAAAGTAACAAGCAAAAGGACATTGGTACAGCAGGTTGAACCTGGTTTTTGGGGAGATCGCCATAGTCCAAAGGTGGACCTGTTACACAAACTCGCACACAAGCCGAATGTGATGGTAATAGTAGAGACAATTAATCTTTCTCTTGGTATATCTGCAACTTCTAATCGAGATTTTGGCACCAATAAATCAGGGTCATGTGTCTTTGAGCTGTTATACAGGTCTTCGTTGGAGATCAGACGGTCCTATCCTTTTCTACCGGTCAACCTCACCGAACACAAGATCCATCGTTCCTAAAAAGAAATGCGTTAGTTTGTTGTTGATATGGTAGAGGCACTGTGAGTATAGCTTACCAATAATAGCGACAGCATCGGCCAGAAGGTGGCCACGAGACACTTGGTCGAAACCACCCAGGTGAGCAAATCCAGGAGCACGGATCTTGCAGCGGTAGGGTCTCTCGCTACCGTCACTGACAAGGAACACACCCATCTCACCCTTGGGAGCCTCAATGGCGGAGTAGGTCTCACCCGGGGGAACGGCGTAACCCTTGGTGAACAGAAGGAAGTGGTGGATCAGAGCCTCCATGTTCTCCTTCATGGCCGCACGAGGAGGGGGGGAGATCTTGTAGTCCTCAACACGGACGGGACCAGCGGGCATCTGGTTCAGGCACTGGTGGATGATGCGCAGGGACTGGCGGAATTCCTCCATACGGCAGAGGTAACGGTCGTAGCAGTCACCGTTGACACCGACGGGCACGTCGAACTCAACCTTGTCGTAGGCATCGTAAGGCTGGGACTTACGGATATCCCAGGGGATACCGGAACCACGCAGCATGACACCGGTGAAACTCATGTTGAGGGCATCGGCAGCCTTGACAACACCAACACCCTGGGTTCTGGCCTTCCAGATACGGTTATCTGTGAGCAGTTCCTCGGTCTCGTCAATGCGGTCACCGAACTGAGTAGCCCACTGGTAGATATCGTCGAGGAGACCAAGGGGCAAATCTTGGGACACACCACCAGGGCGGACGTAGGCAGCGTGGAGACGGGCACCGGAGACACGCTCGTAGAATTCCTAAATTCAAGGACTCATGTCAGTCATTGCGGCTAGCACACAGCTCTGCATGCCAGAAAACACCTACCATGAGCTTCTCACGTTCCTCGAAACCCCACAGGAAAGGTGTCAAAGCACCAACATCCATCGCGTGGGAAAGGACGGACATGAGGTGGTTCAGAATGCGTGTCATCTCACCGAACAGTGTCCGGATGTACTTGGCTCTCTCAGGAATCTCAACGTTCAGCAGCTTCTCAACAGCCAGGGAGAAGCACTGCTCGTTGGTCATCATGGAGACGTAATCCAATCGGTCGAAGTATGGCAGGGCTTGCATGTAGGACTTGTATTCGATCAACTTCTCGGTACCACGGTGAAGCAGACCGACGTGGGGATCGGCGCGGACGATCTCTTCACCATTGAGCTCCAGAATCAAACGCAACACACCGTGAGCGGCAGGGTGCTGAGGACCGAAGTTGACGGTGTAATGGCGGATTTTGCGGCCGGCTCCAGTGTCCTCGGACTCGAGGGCGGCGCCCACATCAGCCTCCGAAGGGCCCTCCTTGTTGGCCAGAGATGTGAAGGTCGGGTCGGCCGGGATGAGGCGGGTGGCCTGGTAGCTGGTGGGTTCTGCGTACCGGCGAGGCAGCGACGTTGAAATCGTCCGGGATCTGGGGATAGCAGTGTTTCTGGAGAAGCTCGAGGGGCGGAGGCAGAGCCTTTTGGGCGCGCTGCCCGCCAGGCGAGTGAAGGAAGCAGCCATTCGGGAGAGCGGGGAGTGAGGATGAGGGTAAAGCGAGGCGGAGAGCCCTCAATCCAGACGCAATTGGGTTGGAAGGAGGGGGAATTGGCGGGGATTGGAAGCGATGCGGACTGACGCTTGCTCCTCGTTGGATGAGGTTGCGCTTTCCAGGCGAGATACAATTTGGGCAGTCACGTGAGGGGAGCTTATGGTCATCAGCCCGTCTCTGGTTGGTCTGCCGTTAGCCACTTAAAACTCTCACCACTAGTGCCGATTCCCCTTAAACTGCTGGGTGTGTTATATACACCCTTTTCTCCGCCTTTGCGGCCTGCAGAATTTCAGAAAATACTGCCGCTTCCGCCAAAGAACTTTTCGCAGTTGCTCCCTCCACTTTGTCTGTCCCTCTTCCTCCTCCAAATTTCCCCGCGGCTTCTAAGTCCATCGTTCATCATGGCGCCTCTCGTTCCCTCGCAGGAGGAGCTTGATCGCAGAAGGGTATGTTCTGTCTTCCGACCGTGACCTCTCGTTCCTATTTCGTCCATCATACTGACTGCATTGACTTCCAGATCGTCGACATCAACCCAGAGACCGTCTCCAACATCCCCTCCACAGATTTCCCTGGTCATTGGCCCGGCGAGTCGCACGAATGGTCTCTCGAAAAGTTCAAGAATGTACGTTGGTAGTACTCAAGTGTTCGCGCTCACATTGTGACTTCTCCACACAAGTCCCATCAGCTTTGCGCTCACACGTCCCTTTTTTTCGCGAACAGGATCTCAAGATCGACTTCCACCGCAACGAGCGTTTCGAAGCCTCCTTCTCTCTCATCGGAGTCGACGCCTCCATTGCCAATGCCTTCCGTCGTATTCTCATGGCCGAGGTGCCCAGCATCGCCATTGAATACGTTTTCGTCCACAACAACACCTCTGTCATCCAGGATGAGGTCCTCGCACAACGTCTGGGTCTGATTCCCCTCAAGGGTTCCGTGGAGGGCATCAACTGGATGCGCTGGTTCAAGAAGCCCACCGACGACGATCCCAATGGCAGCAATCCCGCCGACTACAACACCATCGTCTTGCGCTTGGACGTCGAATGTACTAAGAACCCCAACGCGGACCCGGAGGAAGATGATCCCCGCAAGCTCTACAAGAATGCGCACGTCTACGCCAAAGATATCACATTCCACCCCGTCGGTCGCCAGGAACAATTCTTTGCTGGCGATGACGCAATCCAACCCGTCAACCCGGACATCCTGGTCGCCAAGCTCCGTCCTGGTCAGTCGATCGAGATGGAACTTCACTGTATCAAGGGTATCGGTGCCGACCATGCCAAATTCTCCCCCGTCGCCACGGCTAGCTACCGTCTACTCCCCGACATCAAGATCCTCCGCCCCATCATTGGAGACGATGCCAAGAAGTTCGCCAAGTGCTTCCCTAGTGGCGTCATTGGCCTCGAGAAGGTCACCCGTGAGGAGGCCAAGCAGAAGGACAGCGGATATGAGGGCCACGAGGGCGAATTGAAGGCAGTTGTTGTGGATCCCTTCAAGGATACCGTCAGCAGAGAGTGTCTGAGACACGAGGAGTTCCAGGGCAAGGTCAAGCTCGGTCGCGTCCGCGACCACTTCATCTTCAACATCGAGAGTGTTGGCCAGTTCGAAAGTGATACCCTCTTCCTGGAGAGTGTCAAGGTCCTGAAGCTTAAATGCGCAAGATGGAAGCGGGGCTTGACGGACCTCATGCGCTAAGTCAAAGCCATTTGACTCAGCCTTCCGTGAAAAATGATTCAAAGCTATATAATGCATTGGCCTGGCGTTGGATTGTCTTGTTGATTTTGTACATTTACGAAAAGTTGGTGACAACCTTCTTTACACTTGTTGGGAGTCTGGACTGGGATCTTTTTGTGATAGAAAAAGCAGATTTGACTTCCTAGGTCTTGAATATGATCATCAGAGCATCAGCGATTCTTCGTAACGTGTAGTTGCCGGTCCATCTCAGCGGCTCTTCTCGTCTATTGAAACGCCAGTCGGAAGCGGAAATCGATGATATACGCCGGGTCACTGACTGCGATTTCCTGGCCGTCCTCAATCAAGTCCTTCAGCTTGAGCTTCAGATTAGCGCGAGTCTGTTCCTCCAACTGCGGCGGGAACCGTTGGTAGAGTGTCTTCTCCTCCGTCCTCATACTGGGCTTCTTCAGTTGAGCCTCAGGCCGTTCTCCAAGGGTCTCGATGAATTCTTCCAGCGTCATGTTCGGGTTCACGTTCAATTTGCGTGCCAGGTTTCCGCACACCGGACAGTCCGGCTTCTTCTCCGCCTCAAATGTGTACGTGTACACGCCCTCTTCTCCTGCATACATCATATAGTTCTCAAGGTACGGGTTGCACGATGTGGCAATCTTCAATGCCTCGGAGGTGGTCGCCGCTGCGATCACAGCATTGGTTGAGGCAATAGCCGGAATGATGTTCTTGACAACTCCCTGAGTCATCTGGAAAGTGACGCCAGGGATATTGAACTGCTTCGCCCGTTCCAGAGCAGCATTGTAGACCCAGCCAATGTGCTCCATGTCGTCACTATCGAATGCGTCATCTTTGCGCTGTTCCTGCCAAGCGATCTGATGAGCCCATTCGATGCAGTGTTGAGGCTGGCGCGGAATGGTTGCGATGGTACAAAGAGGAACGGCCGGTCGCGGCGCGTGCATATCAAGCTGACACTCAATACAAGAGGAAAGTGTGGGTAAAATTACACGCGCCTGTCCCTTGAATCCTGTTATCGGTCAGTTGTAATTTTTTATTTTTTCTTTTGCATCCAGCATAAGTGAGCAAACATACCTTCTGTTCCACCATCGATGAGCGGCTTCAGACTTTCTGGGTCCTCGAAATCGACCATTCCGACCAGAGTCGAGTTAATCCAACGTCTGGCTTCGATGCTATCCAGACCACAGACGATGATCTTGAATTGCATGTAGTAATCTTCGTCTTTGTCTTGGATCTTC